TTCCTAGTTAATATAGATTAAGTAAGAGTAATAATAAATAGCTTTAAAGCTAGAAGAATAATCTCCTATTACCTAGTATATCTAGTACTTACCTATACTATATAACTAAATAGAAGTTATATAATATAATAACTTTACCTTTTACCCTATATATACCCTATTAGTTATAATAGTATTAGTCTAGTATAAGTATAAGAAGTAATTAACTTTTAATTTTAAAATTTAGTAAATTAGGCTATTAGCCTACTCTTACCCTAATATAGCTTAGACTTAATACTAGCCTAACTCTACCTCTTTTTCTAGGTATAAAATAGAAGATTTAAAAAATAGGTATAGCCTAGGCTAGGCTTAGTATTATCTTAATTTTACTACTTTTAGTAAGCTAAAAAATATATAGAAAACTAAAAATAATTTTAAATAGGTATAGCCTAGGCTAAGCCTAGTACTACCCCTCTTTACCTTCTCCTCCTCTTACTCCTCCTTCTCCTTCTTACCCTCCTCCCCCTTAGTTAAGGTAGTTAAGTCTAGGCCCTTATTTAGCCTAGGCTTAGGTATAATTACCCCCTAGGCCTTTAAGGTAGCTATAATAACCTAAAATAGGCTAGCTAAAGTATACTACTATTAGGTTAGCTAATAAACTACCTTAACCTTAGCCTAATCTAGATATATTAATACTTTAATATTAATATAAATAATTATAACTAAAGCTAGATTATAATTAATAAAGGTTAATATAATTATAACCTAGGCTAAATTAATTATACTTTAAATATAATAAGTATTATTTTTAATATTTATACTATTAGCCTAGTTATAAGTATAGTAAATAGCTACTATTAAATAGCTAAACTTAATATTATTTAAGCCTAAGGCTAAACTATTTTTAATATAAGCTAAAAGTTAATCTTAAATAGTAATAGTTATAAGTTTAATATTATTAATAGGCTATTAATAGGTTAATTAAGATTAAACTTAGTTAAGCTTTAAATTAAAATTAAAAAGATTTATTAATATATAAACTTTATTATTTTTTATATACTTAATATATATAAATATATTAAGATTTAAAACTAGATTAAAATAGGGGCTATCTTAGTATAGTATTAAAATACTTACTAGCCTATTTAAAATAGGTAATAGTATTAATATTACCTATATACTTAAGATATTAACTATAAAAGACTAATATTAGCTTACTTATAATAATAACTTAGTATAAGTACTTAGTAAAGTAGTAAGAAGGTAAGGGAGGTAACTAGCTAAATTAGTACTAGAATAAGGGTAAATAATAAATAGGTAAAGGTTACTTATATTATTAATAATAATAATAATAATATTAAACTAATAGGGTTAAGAATAAGATAAGGCTAGGTATATACTAAAGATAAGGTAACTTACTATAGTAATAATAATAGTAATAGTTAAAATTTTTATTTTTTTAAAAAATATTAATAATATTAAGATAAGGCTAAGGATAGCTTAGGTATAACCTAAGGAGGTATATAAAGATAAAAAGAAGGGGAGTATATAAGTATAATAATAATAGTAATAAGAAACTAATAAAGAAGAAAGTTAATATAGTTTAATAGCTAAAATAAAAATAGCTTAGCCTAAGTAAAGGTAAAGGTAATAATAAGGTATAGTATATATACTAAAGGTAAAGAAAATATATAATTATATATTATTAAAAAAAGAAAGAAAAAAGTAAAAATTAAGAAATTTAAGGCTTTTTAAATATTATAATAAATAGGCTAGCTAGCTAGGTAGTAAACTAAAATAATAATAATTAAATATATATAGCTATAGCTCCTTCCTTACTTAGTATAGTAAATATAATAGACTATATAAAGGTTAATATTAATTTAAAAGCTTTAAAGAGGTATAAAGATATAAATAAAGTAATTATAAAATAAAAAGTAAAGATAAATATAGAAGTATATAGAAATAAGAAAGTAATAAGACTATTCTAATTAGTTCTAGTATAGGTAAGGCTTTATAAGGAGTAAGGTTCTTACCTATTTAGTATAAATAATATAGAAAATAAACTATAAAAGCTAAAAAGAAGAATAATAAAGGTAGGTATTATAGCCTTTATAGCTATTACTATACTTACTTATACTTTAAAGTATCTAGGGATTAGGATTTAAAAGGGACCTTAACTATATATAGTACCTAGCCTAGGCTAGGATAAGACTATAAAGAAAGGAGGTTAAGAGGGTTAAATAGGGAATAGGTAAGTCTATTAGTTTATTAAGTTTTATATATTTATACCTATTATTATTATCTTTTATTAAGATAAGGAGTATACTACTCTTTACTAGGAATTACTTTAGGATTATATTAAACCTATACTAGAGCTAGGGTTTTTCCTCTAGGTACTTTAGTTTTTTCCCTATCTTATAAGCTATAGAGATACTAGATAGACTAGTTAGTCTAATTAGTATAATATAATAATAATAAGGTACTATTTAAACTATTAAGTTATTTTTTTAGAAGGATTTAGGTATTATAGAATTACCTATTAATATAGAAGTTTTAGTACTTTAAATAGATTTATTTATATATATAGATTAACTATTAAAGTATTAAAATTAAGTTTTTATAGTATTCTAGGGATTATATAAAGGCTATAGTATAGGCTTTATTATTATATATAATACTTTTTAATATATTTTAAGTCTTAGTAAATATAATTACTTTTAAGTATAGAAAATAGTTCTTAATATAGAATCTAGATCTTATTAACTAGTAACTTAAGGTAGTTAATAGTAAACTTTATAAGGTACTTCTTTATTAGCTTATCTAGTAAAAAGTACCTTTATTTATTTATATAAAGGTTCTAGGTTAATAAGAGCTTAAATTAGTTATAAACTATCTTAATTATCTTATTATAAGTTATTTAGTAGTTTATAATTACCTAAATATAATACTTTAAAGCTTTTCTAATAAATATTAATAAAAATATATATAATAAAGCCTTTTTTAAAAGCTAGACTTAATTATAGTAGTTAATAAAGTTATATATTTAGGTATAAAAGAAGTTATACCTCTTTTTACTATACTTATTAGCCTTTTAATACCTTTTAATAATATTATTAATTTACTTTAATATATTTAGATTTATTATAAATAGCCTAAAAGGTTTATTTTTAAGCTATTTATACCTTTTATTATTAAAATAATATAATAATAATAAAGGTAATAATAGTAATCTTAAAAATAATAATAATACTCTTTATTAATATAATAACTATAATAGTTTTTATAATAGCTATAATAAAGGTATAGGTAATCTTAATAAAGGTAGTAATAGTACTTTATATTTAAAGGGTTATTAAGTAGCTTACCTTTTATAGTACTAATAAATAGAGTTCTTTTAGTATAATTATAATATAAAAAGTTAAATATACTTATTATAGCTAAAGTCTTATAAGGTATTAAGTAGTATAAGGGTATTAAGTACTTAAAAAGTATTAATTATTATAAGTAAGCTAGGTACTTAGGGGGTACTAGGTACTAAGAGGAGTCTAGTTATATAAGGGTCCTAGTAAATCCTTATAGGTTTAGATAGGGTATTTTCTATATTATATAAGTCTTTCTTTAGTACTTCTTAAGGTAGTTCTAGTAATAGTATATATTAAGGTATTAATACCTAGGCTATTTAGAGTAAGTTATTATTATTTAGATAAAAAAGATTATAAATACCTTTCTTTTTATTATTAACTAATTTTAAAGGTTTATTAGTTAAAAGAAAACTAAATAATAGCTTTTTTATAGATTTTAATTTAATAATAAATAGTTTTATTAAAAGCTAGTTAAGCTATATTAAAAAAGGTTCTTTTTATAAAGAAAGAAAGAGGTATTTATTTTTATAATTAATATATTTACTAGAAATAGTCTTTTAAATAGTTTTAATAATCTATTATTCTTTATTAGTATATAAAGTAACTTTAATATTATTAAAATAGTTTTTAAACTTATAAAAAACTTTTTTATTAACCTTTTTCTAATTAGTTTTAGTCTAATAAATAAAATCTTTATATAGGTATTTTTAAAGGTAGCTATTAAACTATTTATAATAAATATTATATATAAATATATAGAAAATAATTACTATAGTAGTTTATTAATTAAGATTAATAACTTTTTTAATACTTTAAGTAAAAAAGTATAATTAGAATAATTTTTAATTAGCTAAAAGAAGATAGGTAAGATAAGTAAGGCTTTTAAACACCTTATTAGGGATTATAACTAATAGGTAGCTTAAGATCTTAAAGGTAATTATATAAAACTATATTAAAAACTTAATTAAAGGTTTTTTATTAGTTAAGTTATTAAGTATATTAAATAATATATTAGATTTTTTAATAATTATATTAGATATTATAGTTAATAGAATAAATAGTTTTAAAAGGTTATAAGGTTATAAAAATATAAAAAGAATAAGTATTTTATTAGAAATTTATAATTAAGATAAAGGTAATTACTAATTAATATTAAGATTATTATTCTAAATAAGTAATAGTTATAAGATTATAAGTATAAAGTACTTATAAAGGTACTTTATAAGAATAGTTATATAATAATAATTTTTAATTAATTAATAAAATAAACTATAAAAAAAAGAGATTATAATTAAATATATAAATAAGTAATATCTTAGGTACTATTAGGAAATTATAAGAATAAAGGAATAATTAGTAGTTATATATATTAATAGTTAATAGCTTATAGGTAGTTACTTTACTTACCTATAAGAGGTAATAGTACCTTTATAGTAATCTAGCTTTATTAGCTTAGTTACCTACTATAATAGCCTTTATAATACCTTATATTAAGGCTATAAATATTAAGACTTCTTTTATATACTATTATATAGTATAACTACTATATATATATACTATATAATATAACTAGCCACTATATATAACTATGTATAGTATAAATCTATCTGCTATACGCCTCTACGTACGGCATATCTTACTAAACATCCGCTGTACTTAGCTAACTGCATCCGCTGCAGCGCCCGCTGGCGCAACATAAAACACGGTCCAGTGTTTGGGCTTCTCATCTATCGATGCGTGGGCTGATAAGCAATGTGCAAGGATCTGCAACGAGCATCTAGTCGAGTATGTACATCCTCCATCCATCATAGCTCCACAAACCCCGAGTCCTCCTCCTCCTCTTGCGCTTCCCTCCCCTTGTCCGCACGCCATTCCTTCAGCCAGGCCCTGACGAATTCCACCTGCCGGCGCTGGTTGTCGACGACCTGTGGCGGGGGCAGGCCCTTTTCGTGCAGGCCGGGGCGGGCGCCAAACTCGTCCCAGTGGTGCACGCCCCAGTCGATTACGAGGTACGGCTCCGAGGTGGTGGAGACGCGGTCCGGCTGCCCGTCGGCGTGCGGGGTGGCGGCGCGCCAGGGGTCCTGCCTGCCGTCAATGATGGCGAGGCGCGGGTAGCTAAAGTTGAAGCCGCCGTGCTGGTTGATGATGTCGACGTCGGGCGGCGTGGTTATGTTGAAGAAGCGGCGGCAGTTGCTGGTCGAGTACGCGACGGTGACGGCGCGCGAGAGCAGGGGAAGACGGTCCTTGGGGACATCCTCGCCGTTTTGGAAGTAGCCCCATCTATTTTGCAGGTCAGAGATCTGCTTTCCTTTTTTTCCCATCTAGATGGGTCAGCTTCGGGGACTTACTCTGTGCATGTCTGCCACAGCCAGGGACGGTACATGTCGTTCGAAATGGCCGTCTCGTCCGGAAAGTGTCGCTGAGAGTAGCATTCCGGGTTCGAGAGTCCTTTGCAGCTGGACCTCTTGGCCTTTTTGTCCATGTTGCGAATGTAGCCCGCCCAATTGAGCAGCTGTGCCGAGCGCTGTTCGAGGTTGTGGCCGTGGCCGCCGAGCTTGGTAAAGTGCCTGGCCTTGGCCGCGAGGTGGGCGGTGCTGGCGAAGAGGCGCGCGGTCGAGGTAATGGCGGCGCAGTAGAAGCTGAGGGCGTCCTCGTCGTCCTCGGTCGCCCAGTTGGTCGACTGCAAGCCGCTGAGCGCGCCGGTAATCGTCGTCGCAAACTCGTCGTCCTGCAGACCGGCGAGGTGAAACATGGTCTTCAAGTCGTCGACCTCGTCCTGGTCACCGCCAAAGAGAATGGCATCGACAATGTCCGTCAGCGCCTGCTGGGCGTCGGAGCAGCCGTCCGGGGCAAAGTGGCGAAACGCCTCGTGATACTCCCAGAACCTGTCCACGGCTGCCGTGACGCCCGACGAGGAGATGCCGCCCCAGAAGACGTCCGGGTAGAGCTTGCGGGCCATGGCCGCCAAGCCGCCGGCGTATGACCCGCCATAGATGATCCAGGGCGCGGCCGGCGCCGTCAAGTTGACGTGCTCGAGGCCGGGAAACGCCACGTGGCGCGCAAAGTAGGCCGTGTCGGCGAGGGCCTGGGCGGTGGTGAGGAAGCGCATGTGGTGCGTGGACGCGTCGGGGACGGGCCAGCTAGTGCCGTAGTAGCGGTGCTCAAGGACGAGGCCGAGGCCGCCGGTGGCGGCCGCGAGGAGGGGCACGATGCCGTGGTCGAGGTAGGCAAGGCGGCCGGCGCTGTCAAACTCGCCCGAGTGCAGCACAATGACGGGCCCGCCGGGGCGGTAGTGCGTCGTGTCGAGCCAGTACCGCAGCGGGAACGTGTCGTGCGAGTGCGGCGCGTACTTGGTCTCGTTGTGGAAGTGGTCGACGGGCACCGACAGGTTGTAGGCTTTGATGTGCGGGCGCACGTCGTCGGGCGGCCGCAGCGCGGCATCGTCGCTGGTCGACGCGAGGTAGTAGGCCGGCACGGCGTGAAAGGCGGCGGCGGCGGTGCCGGCGAGGCAAACGACGGCGGCCGGGAGGAGAGACGGCAGCGAGGGTCGCATCGCGGGCAGATGGTGCGGGCGTCGTTGCGCTCTCTCTTGGTCGGGAAGTGTAAGATCGGGGATGCAGGAGGATCCCCTTGGGGGGAGGGGGAGAGAGAGGGGGGAGAGAGAGGGGGAGAGAGAGGGGGGTGGCTATATGTATGTATTGATGTATGACGAGGTGGTGGAAGCTGTTTGCCGGGTACCTGGATGGCTGTCTGTTGGGGAAGACGGGCGTTACAACGGCTATAGCGTGTGTTGGCGCTGTAGTGCCCCTGAAACGGGAAAAGCCTATCAGCCTTTAGCGGGTATTGCAACGGACATTGCCCTGGAACAAAGTGCCTTTAGCGGTCCTTTAGCAGTGCTTATGTATAGTGGCCTGCCAGTGACCAAGACCATCTCACTTCTGCCTTGCCGCGTCGTCCTGAATTACTTTCATCATGCATGCCCTGAAGATAATATCTCATCAACTCAGTAAAACATCGTCGCACTAATACTTGTCTGCACCGTCCGGCTACTAAGCCCTGTTCAGGGACCTGTACCCGACCCCTCCTCGCCGGCAATCCCGTGCCTCAGGAAGCACAGGAGATGCATGTGGCGCATGGCTCTAAAATATCTTGCCACCATGTTGGTACCATCTGGATCGTAGTAATTTCTTCAAATACCTCGTTGCTATTATGTCTGACTCTCGAGCCTCTGAGAGAGCAGAGCTTCGGTGCAGAGTGTCGTTCAAGTATACCCTACCCTACATCGAGAAGCGCTACGACCTCGGCGTGCTCAGCTGCAGACGCACGCCGCCCCCGGCGCAAGGCGAGATGTTTTGGTCTAATAGTGCATGGGATAACTTCAAGTTCTTTTAAGATGTGAATGCATCGCATTAGTTACTAGCACAGAAGACTTGACTCTAGATTAAACCCGTACCGGTCCACCTCTATCCGTAGTCTCTCATCCACCATACTATGACGTGCCCGCTTGGCCCCCACGTCCTTCATCTACTTCGCAGCATGCTTCGCGGCACAATCCATCACTTCGACAACAATTATATCCTCCTATCACCATCACCATGACGCTCATAAGAGTAGCCCCGCCCAACAAGACTCTCAAAGGCCACAAGCTCCTCATCACAGATCCTCGAGGTCTCCCAGACGCCGCCGTAGATCGCCTCCACAACAGCTTCCCCGACCTGCAAGTACAGCGTTTGGGTGAAGACGCCGACGACAGCTGGAGAGATGCAACAGTAGCGGTCGGCTCGACGTCTAGCCTGCCCTCAATCGGACAGGCCACAAAGCTAGAGCTCTTCCAACTGACGTCGGCCGGCGCGGATGGCCTCGTCGGCAATCCCGTCTTTGACGACACCAAGATATCATTCTGCACCGCAAGCGGGGTACACGGGTATGCGATTGTAAAGACACTGTGGTATCAGGTAGCTGACTGGTTGCTTCTAGACCTCAAATATCGGAATGGGTCGTGAGCACCTTTCTCGCCTTTCAGCATCGTCGTGCGTCTCCCTCTTGGCCGTTACCAACCAAGTCCTGCCTCCCTGACCTTATCCAGTGCCCGAGTACCTTGAAAACCAACAGCAAGGCAAATGGAAACCCTCCAAACACCCCTCCGACTCCTCCGTCGGCCAGCGAGTGTCAGTCCCACCCCCCCATCACCACCTCCACCCGCCAACTAACATGCCCCCCCCTCAGAGGCATCCTCGGCTACGGCAGCGTCGGGCGGCAAGTCGCCCGCCTCTGCAAGGCCATGGGCATGACCGTCCACGCCTACACGCTGCACCCGCGGCGCACGCCCTCGTCCCGCCGCGACGACTCGTACGCGCCCCCGGGCCTCGGCGACCCCGCCGGCGCCCTGCCCGACCGCTGGTTCGCCGGCCGCTCCACCGCGGACCTGCACGCCTTTCTCGGCTCCGGCCTCGACCTGCTCGTCGTCGCCCTGCCGCTGACGCCCCAGACGCGGGGCCTGATTGCCAAGCCCGAATTCGACATCTTGCGGGCCAGGAAGGCGTTTGTGTCCAACATTGCCCGCGGACCCATCGTCGACACGCACGACTTGATCGACGCGCTGGAAAATGGCACTGTTCGCGGCGCGGCGCTGGACGTGACGGACCCGGAGCCGCTGCCGGACCGTCATCCGCTGTGGCGTGCCAAGAATATCATCATCACGCCGCATGTGAGTGGCGCGACGTCCAAGTATATGGAGAGGGTGTTTGAGGTGCTCATGGCCAATTTGACACGATTCAGCAATGGTGAAAGATTGATGAACTTGATTAACAGGAAAGAGGGATACTAAATTGACCAATACACAACTTAATGACATGCAATCGCTATACTTTGCTCTTCTGGCTCTTCTCCCGTAGGCCGCGCAGCAAGTCCCTCAAACCCCGAATCTCCACGTCCGCATACGTATCATCCAGCAGCTCCAAGACACCCTCAGCCGTAATTTCCGGATCCCACATATCCCCCTGGATGACCGCGTCCGGGTCCGCACCGCCCACCTCCAGAAAGAGCCGCACGATGCGCGCCCATCGCCTCGTGCCGTCGTCGTCGACGTCGTAGCGCTTAATCCAGCGCCGGCGGCGCGCGTCCCTCAAGTGTCGCAGCACCGCGAGCCACGGCGTCGTGTCCGCCCTCGTCGCGAACTCGAGGTATCCGTGGTTGGCGCCCGGATTGGTGCGGCCCGCGGCGGGGGCCCGGAGCAGGTCCTCCACCAGGCCCGGGTCCGACAGCGGGTAGATGGTCTTTTGCCGGTCGCACAGGTACTCGGTGGCGTACGCCAGCAGCGGCACGGCGTCGTCGACCTGCAGCGCGCGCAGCTCGGCGGCGACGCCGTCCGCCGCGTCCTCGTCCCGTCGCGCCGCGGCCGCCAGCTCCTCGGCCACGTACGTGCGCAGGCCAAACTTGACGGCCAGGGCGAGAAACGGCTGCCAGATGGGCGGCGCCTTGGCGCGCACCTCGAAGCTGCCAAACGCGCTGCGCGCCCAGTGGTCGTACGGGTCGTCGGGGCGCGCCGCCCAGTACCAGGCCACCGTGCTGGCCAGCTCATTCACAAACGGCCGCTGCCGCCGCGCCGGGTCCCGCGCGACGTACCGCGCGTGCGTCATGGCGAGCGTGATGCCCGGCCACCAGTCGTCGAGCATGCGATGGTGCTCGACCGCGCCGAGCGGCCGCTTCAGCTGCAGCACGTACGACCGCAGCAGCCGCAGGTGCGCGTCGAACCCGGCCGGCAGGTTCTGCAGCAGCCGCGCGTGCACGCCGCCGGGGCCCGACACGAGCCAGTCGCGCACGGTCCGGTGGATGTAGACGACGCGGCTGCGGGCGCGGCCCCGCGCCGAGGGCCGCCGGGGCTTGCTGCCGCGCGGCTTGTGAAGCTTGCCCTCGCGGCGCCGGATGTGCACGTCCAGCAGACCGGCGAAGCGCTGCCGGATGGTGCGGATCGTGGCCTCGCCGCGCTGCCGGATGTAGCTATCGGTGGCCGCTTCCACCGGCACCCGGTCGAGCAGCATGCGGTCGTCGTCCTCGTCCAGGGCAAAAGCGAGCTCCCAGACGGTCAGGTTGTTGGCGTCGTCGTTGCGCACAAAGTCGGCCGCGGCCTCGCGCGCGCGCATCAGGCTGTACAGGGTCGCCGTCTGCTGCCGCTCCGCCGGCGTCTGGTCCGCGAAGAGCAGCTGCGCAAAGAGGTCGTCGAGCTCGGCGGGCAGCGCGACGAGCTGCGCGGCGAGCGCCTCGACCCCGTCGGCGCGCGCCGACGACCGCTCCAGGATCTTCTCGACGGCGAGCCGGACCCAGAGAAAGACGCCGTCGGCGCGGTCCACGAGGGCCTCGACAAAGCGCGCGCCGTCTGCCGGGTCACGGTCCAGGGTGGCTCTCATGTCGCTGTTTTGGCGCAGCATCTCGGACACGTACCGCTGCATGTCGCCATACGTCAGCTCCTGCAGCTTGAGATTGGGGACGGCAAAGGCAAAGGCATCCGCAAAGACGGCCCAGGGCCGGGACGACAGGCACATCTTGACCTGGTGCGACCCGGGCCCCGTGGCGACGCTGCGAAAGAGGTCGATGAGCACGGCGTGGTCCCCCTCAAACTCGTCCATGCCGTCGACGAAGAGGCAAATCTTCATGGCGGCCGACGCCGCGCGGATAAACGCGCGAAACGCCGGCAGGAGCTCCTCCACGGTCCAGTCGAGCCGCACCTGCACGCGCGCCTTTGTCGGCATCGTCCGCAGCCGCGCCCAGAGGGCGGGAAACGCGGCCGCCGTGTACGCCGGGTGCGCCGCGAGGAACTGGTGCAGCAGCGACCGGAGCAGGCCCGTCTGCGAGCGCTGCTCGCGCGAGCCGCTGGTCCAGAAGAAGAAGCCGGCGACGAGCACGGGCTGCGCGTCGCCGCTCCAAGAGGCCAGGCACTGGGCCGTCGCCGGGTGCTGGAACAGGTACCGGATAAAGGTCGACTTGCCCGACCCGGGCTTGCCCGTGATCCAGTAGAGGGGGCCCGCCGCCGTCGTCGAGAGCCAGTCCTTCAGGCCGTGCTTCAGCGCCCGGCCCCCCTCCTCGCCTTGCTGCGCGCCGGTCTGGTCGGCAAAGACCCAGTCAAAGGTGGACGCGTACGCCTCCGTGACCTCGTCCTCGCGGTCGTGCATGCTCTTGTACGCGAGCCCCTCGAGGATAAAGTCTTGGAGGATTTCGGGCGACATGTCCCGCGGCTGGTCCTCCGGAGGCGCGCTCCTCTTGAGCTCGGCATCGGGCTCCTTGGATCCGCCTTGGGCGTCGACCTTCTGCTCGCCGTTGTCGTACGCGTCGCCGTGCGGCGCGTGCGGCGCCAGGCGGACGGCGAGCTGTCGTTCCAGCGAGCGGAGCTCTTCAGCCGGACTTGTGCGGATACTGTCAGTAAGAAGCTTAATCAATGCAGACGAGGGTACGTCGTTGGGCTGACTCACAAGGGGGAATTTTCGACGTCGTGAGTTTGCTGGATCAAGCTGTCGAGTCGCTCTGCGAGCACAACGAGATCACCAAGATCCCAGGCGACCTTGGCGGAGTTTTCCAGTCGATCAAGTCGCAAAATCACGTCTTGGCCAATCTTGAGACACGCGCGCAAGAGATGGACCGGAACGTCAGTGTCGTCCTGTGCCTCGTCAATCGCCGCCAGCGCCGCCACGTCCGCTCGGAGACGGCTGCCATGTTGGCTCCATGGCACAGAGGACGCTGAGCTCGCAGGATCCTCGTCGGCGTCGGCGTCACGATGCTGCTGCGCCCAGGCAGACGAAAAGACAGCCGTCGCAGAGTGGAAGAAGGCCAGCGCAGCTGCAGAAGCGGCCGCGTTGGGGGTGGAGGCAGTATGTGCAGGAGCGGCCATTTTATAGCATATAATGGGAGCCCGAACCTGGAATGGGTTTTTTTTTTGTGGTGTCTATTCTACTTTCTAAAACTCTTCTTACTCAATAGGACAGTAAATGCAGCCTTGTCCCGTGACTCTGTCAGTGTTTGTCTGTGTGACACGGTGCAGACGCCGCGACAATGATGAAAGGGAAAAGTGGCCTAATGACGGGGGGAAATAGGTCGCTAAATAATAACTCGTTGAAATGTGGCTTGCTCTGATTCGCGTATGCAATTAGCCGAATGCTTACAAGGGGCTCGGGCAAAGTCGCCGAAGCTACATGCACGGCGCTTTATGAGTGACGAGAGACTTTGACCAAATTGTGCTTGTTCTGACAAGTTTCCGCTCTGATAATTCCATTATTCAGAAGTCAGCTATTTAATGCGCAGGCCTACAACCGTTGGAATGAAGGAGCGAAGCTTGGTATGGCTGATGCGGAATCACTGTGTAGACAATCAACTCGGAGCAATGCAGAGGAGGCGAAGATATAGCTTCGAGATTCTAAATATCTGAAAATCTGTATATCGAAGAGAATAAATGTACATACCGTAGCGACCCGCGGGAATAAGATTGCATACTACGAGCGCGGGTCGCAAGCTAACAGAGAGTCGAAATAAACAAGGCACCATGTCCAGAAAACAATCCAATCAGGTGTAGAGGTGGTCATTATCGTATTATCGTTGCTTGCACACCATCCTGGGAGATGGCATCGCAAAGTGAAGGGGAACCGGGGGGACCGAAAAGCACGTCATTATCATATACACACAAGGGGAATTACGCAACGACGAGTTGGCTGCGACTGGCGTCCTTGTTCTTTCTCCTGAACAAGCTCTTGAAGAGATCGCTCTCTTGACGTTGGGCCTTGGGACGAACGGGCAACTCGGGGTCGTCGCGGCTGCGGCTGCGGCTGCTGCGGCTGTCGTCCAGGTTGACCTCGGAGCGCGGCTTGAGCTTGCTGGATGAGGAACCCGCCCGGGAAGAGCCACTGCTGCTCTTGCGGTCGTCATCATCGCCGTGCTTGCTCGAGCGGTGGGAGCGGTGAGAGTGGTGGGAGTGGTGAGACTTGTGAGACTTGTGTGTCTTGCTTGTCTTGCTCGTCTGAGTTGTTTTGCTACTGCGGTGCGTGCGGCTGCTGCGATGCGAGCGAGCGTCGTCAAAGTCGCGCTCGTCTTCGTAGCGTTCGCGGTCGCCGATGCGGGTGGCGCGGTCCGCCTCGGGGGTGATGAGCTCAATGTCGGCACTCTCGTCGTCGCCGAATTGTTCAATGCCTCGGCGCCAGGACTCAATGGTGCTGAGCTCTTCATCAATCACAAGAGCCTCCTCGTAGTAGCTGCCTTCATGTGTGTGCGCGCGTACAATCTGTGGCCTTTGCATGCTCTCCATGAGTTGGGGGGGCTCGGGGGCCTGCGGGGCCTCAATCGCGGCCATTGCCTCATACGCAATGGCGGCTTTGACGGCACGTTCTTGCTGGACTTTCTTGACAATTTTCCAACCGCCAAACATGACTACAGTAATGCCAGCGGCGAGGCCAGAGGCAATGAGAAACTGAGGAGAGGCGAGGAGAGCAAAGACGGCAGGCGAGCCGCCCTTGAGGAGACCGAGAACTGCAGGAGACATTTTGGCGGCAACCGCAGACAGCTCGCTCAAAGTCAGAGCGACCGCAGCGGCAGCCTCTGGCTTTTCTTGGAGGTGCTTGATCATTGCTTGAGCAGAGTGCTGCACGCAGTTGGCTTCATCGAGCAAGCCTTCGACCCTGCGGACCAAGGCCGTGGCCTCACCTTGTTCTGGGTCGAGGTCGGTTCTTTCGGCAAGATCGGGTGGAATATTCCCATAGGCAAGATTCATATCAATCTTCTTCTTCTTGGGCATAGACACGAGAGCTCCGTGCTGGGGCGCCGGGGCCTCGGACTGGGGCGCGTAGACTTGATGCTGGGGCGCGTAAACCTCATACTGTGGCTCATACGCCTCATATTGAGGTGCGAGGGCTCCATACTGCGATTCTGCTATCGTCGTCGCCGGGACTATCGTAGGCTGTCTCGTGTCTTGAGGGTAGTAGACGCTGCGATCCACTACGGTGAGATCCATATTTGACTGACCCATGGGGACCGTCTCGGCGTAGGGACTGCGATATCTGGACATGGTGGTCGGGGGTCTGGAGGGGCGGGCACTGGCGGCCTCGCTGTGCGACTTTAGGTTGTCCGCTGTCAAGGCAACCGAGTATTCAGAGGGTGCACGAGTGCTTCGCGGCCTGTGGCTACCGTGCTGGCTGTCCTGATGGGAAGCCCGCGTGCGGTGACTGCGACGGGAGCTTGCCACGCTGGCGGCGACATCGTAGGAAGCGCGCCTTGGCTGGTCTTGCAGAGTGTACTGGTCCTCTTCGACATAGTAGGCTGTCTGGGCACGACTTAGGGTGCGAGGACGGAATTCGGCATCTTCACCTCGAATGGACGGGGCATACTGGATAGCCTGTCGTTGCTGACCACCTCTGGTGTCGTCGCCTCGGACAGACGATGCGTGCTGAATAGACGGAGCGTACTGGGTTGAAGGTGCACGTTGGACGTTTCCGGTGCCGTCAAAGGTGTTGGCACGGGAGAGGGCACGCTCGGCTTTGACGCTCTCCTTTTTTTCGCTGTAGATGGCTTTTGCCTCTTGAAATATTGAGAACAACTGCTTTCCCTGGGTGAGGAAAGTGAGACCATCGCAAGTTAGCTACTTATTCGGGCATGCGGTGTGGCGGGGCTAGGAGATGGAAGGGGTGCGCGGGGTTCAGAGGCAGAGACGGGAAGGAGGCACTTACAGTGCTGATGATTTTGCCCGAGTTGTTGACAATGGTAACTGTCTGCTCCATGGTGGGCAATCCCAAGAGAAAGTAGAGGGGGGATGTGTTTGCGGCTGGTGATTGATTGCTTGTCGAAGGGAGGAGAAGAGTAGAGGAAGAAGTTTATGTCCGAGTCTCCAACAGGAGGCCTTCGTAGGTCCCAAGTCCGTGAGGTCGCTGTACTCCGTACCTGCAGGTTGTTTGCTGGTGTGGTGGTGCGCGGGAGTAGAGGTACCTGTGTACGTAGGTACTTGAGGCTGGGGCGCGGTTGATGGGTGCACAAAGACAGCTGAAAGTCGTTCAAAACAGCTTCGAGACTGCTGAAAGGTATGACCAAGATGACCAAGTCAACGGTGGCTGGCCAGGTTCTTGTGTACCAGTACCTGAACAGCTGAACAAATCGGTGCACCTAGCTGGGCTTAGATCAGGCGGCAAATGGCGGGTCCCGTCCCCTCCTGACCAGTAGCAACAGGCTCACTCCTCTAACCGAAACGCACCTATTTCAGCAGACGACTTGTTAGTCAAGTGTCGGTGAATAAGACGGAATCGACAACACCAAACAAAAGGCTGGCTGGTGTCCTCGGTTTGCGGGGGGTTCTGGTCCCTGAGAGCAAGGTACCTTTGCAGGGAAGTATCGGTACAAAGGTACTTTCGAGGGATGCTCCGTCCACTGTAGCTCCACTGAGTTACCCACTGTACCCGTGGCTAGCGAGTTCTGGGATCTGGGGCGGTATATCGACAGACCGCCAGAAAGAAAAGGCAGGGAGGATTTGGAAAAAGCGGAAAATATCAGAAAAGGGGGAAAATGGAGAGAGAAGAAGAGAATGGTCTTTCTTTTCTAGCAGCTAAATACACAGTTGCCTGAAAATTTTCAACATCGGGTTGCACATGGGACAAGTGAAAAGAAAATCCTGCTTCAAGCCGCTTCGGCACTTGTGGCACCAATCGCCGCCAAACAGAACCACACGCTGCCCAACACAGCCTCTTTGCACCGATGAAGGATAAAAAAAGAAGAAGCAGAAATAGTGAATAAATCAGCGCAACAAAGGGCCAAGCTCGAGCCAGCGTCGACTCTGTTCTCGGCCTGTAACCTAGTTAGACTTTGCCTCCAAAGCCAGAAACCCGAGCGCTTTCAAGACAGCGCCCCCTTCGCTCGATTTGTCCCGATTTGGGCGGGCCGCCCTTGTCCCTAGGCCACCACCATCTTGGGCTTGCATTGTCAGGCGTTGCTGCATAACTGTCACATTACTAGTTGACTCCGTACATCCCACGAGACCAGCCAGTGAGATCGCGGACAGTCGATGATGACTTGTTTTTTCCACATCCTCGAAGTTGCCTGGATCCGTAGACAAAGCTTGGACTGGACTCGTCCATTTGGCAAATTCTGGAGCCTGCCAACTAGGCCACCACCCCGACCCCCCCCCCCCCCCAGCCCATCCCGTCTTGCCAGGTGGCCATGCCCACAGCCTATCAAACTTGGGATGACAACGACTTCGCCCCGGGCCGCTCCTTTGCGGCCGCCGCCAAACAAAACTTGGCTGCAACGTCCCACGAGCCGTTTGCGATCCGCGAATCCAGAGGCTAGGATAAGAAGACCCCCCCCCCCGGTCACGAGCCTCACCTCTCGCCACCAGGCATCCGTTGGGCGCGACGGGACGACCATCCCTTGGCACGGAAAAGCGTACGCGGTGACACAGCCGCCAGGGGGCTCGGGTCCAACAAGGGCGTGGGCGCAGGCGAACTTTGAGCTCGACAAAATGCTGCTCATTGGTGAACGGCTGGCCCGTGAGCTGGTGCTCCCAAAGTGGCTGCATCGGTTTCAGGCAGCCATAATGCACAATCCAGTGCGAGATGTCGAGTGGACTGGTAACCAGCATTTCGCATCTACTTCCTTCCGGGTATCACGGGAGATCAGGCCAGATGCTGCGTGTCATGTCTCGCACTGCTCTTGAGCCGTAAACCCGGGGGGGCATGTTGGAGTGGGACAAGTTGCCAAAATTCAGGAGATGTATGTTGGGTGTAATATCTCGTATTGAGTTCCAATAAAGACTGAATTCGGACAGCATGTTGACAGTCATATCATGGGTTTGACTCAAGTGCTGCATGACGAGAGCTGCAGGAGGACATGTTGAGCGCCACAGATGAACAGCACAAGACGATGCTAGGCGCCAAAATTATACATGGACCCCACGCCTTCATTAAAGAATGTAGGACATTGACCGTAAGTTGAATATGCATTTGAGGCCATGATCAAGATAGTTTTTTAATCGTCTATTTCTAAGCTATGAGCCACCAAGCTTCGACAGCTCAACTATGCAAAAAACCCGACCCAAAACGGAACAAATGAAAAGAAGATCAAGCGCCATGAGTAAACTAGATACAAAATTATAAACACCGTAGTATAAAGAGGCTTGAGTGATTTCCTCGAAGGAAGCGACGCCCTGCACAAGTCATGTCATGCAATGCGCGCAACACGGCCGCACATTCCCCTTCCCCTGCATGCCTTTCGGTGCAGAGAGGGTATGCTGCCTGGCCAGACTATGACCAACTCACCGCCCGCTCGTCTCCCTCTGCCCGACGACGCCAAAGTTGAGCTTCCCACCGACCGCCATCGCCTTTTGCTGAGGCGTCGGCGGTGGCGGCGCCGCCTTGGCCTCGCCGCGGACGACGACCTCGTCGCGGCTGACGCGCAGCTGGTCGCGCGCGAGGCCCATGGACTCGAGGAAGCGCACCGTGTCCTGCCACTCGCGGGCCTGGCGGGCGGCGCCCCAGCCGAGCTCCTGCGCCATAATCTCAATCACCTGCGGCAGCGCGAGGAGAGCGCCATCGACGTCGAGGAACGCCAGGCGCGTGCGGCGCGCAATCACGTCGGCGGCCGTGCACGCCGCTTCAGCACGCACAGCGTACCGCACCTCGGCGTCGGTGAAGGGGTGCGAAGGCAGCAGCCGCGTCGGCGGTGTCGTCGTCGTCGTCGTCGTCGTGTCGAGCAGCGCCCACGCGCGGTCGCCATAGTTGGTCGCTAGGTGGTGCGCAACGTCGGCGTCGACAGACCGGCTCTCGGCGAGCTCGGCGGGCAGGCGGGTCGAGTAGCCGTGCGAGCCAGCGAGGACGACCTTGCGCGTGACGCAGGCGGCGGTACTCTGGACGGCGGGGAGTTCGGCGGCACCGGCAATGTTGGCAAGAGGTCCGGCGCGCGGTTTCAGGTCAAACGTCTTGATGGCCTCGTCGACGGCGTCCTCGGCCATCTGGCGGTACGTGGTCCACTTGCCGCCGGCGCAGGTCAGCAGCTTCGCGGGCGAGACGGTCACGAGGTGGCTGCGGACGAGCGACTCGGTGTTCTTGGCGTGGGGGTCCTTGACGAGCGGGCGGATGCCGGACCAGGTGGCGAGCACGTCGGCGCGGGTGAGGGCCGAGTCGGGCTTGAGCAGCTTGCTGACCTCGCCGAGGATGAAGTCGACGTCCTCGTCGCGCGCCACGGGCTGGCGCTCCACCTCGCACGCATTGTCCGTGGTGCCGGCCAGGGTGTAGTTTTGCCAGGGCAGCACGAAGACGACGCGGCCGTCGGACGTGGCGGCGTCGAGCATGCCCATGCCGTGCGGGCAGAGGCTGCCGGGCAGCACAATGTGCGCGCCCGAGGCGGGCGCAATCATGGTCTTGCGCGCGGGGTCGTCCATGCGCTCAATGGCGTCGGCAAAGGGGCCGGTGGCGTTGATGACGCCCTTGGCGCGGACGGTGAAGGCGCGCCCGTCCAGGCCGGCGTCGGGGTCGACCGAGGCGAGCACGTCGCGGACCGTGGCGCCGTCAATCGTGCCGTCGGCGTTCTTGTGCAGGGCCGTGACCTCGACGTGGTTGAGCACGGTGGCGCCGTACAGCGAGGCCGTCATGGCGAGGGCGACATTCATGCGCGAGTCGTTGTGCTGGCCGTCGTAGTAGACGAGGGCGCCGACGAGCTTGGCCGGGTTGAGCATGGGCAGCTTGGCCAGGGCCTGGGCACGGCTCAGGTAGTAGGAGCGCTCGAGGCCCTGGTCGCCGGCGAGCATGTCGTACGTCTTGGTGCCCACCCACATGTACGGCGCCTGCCACCAGTGCTCGAGCGGTAACAGGATGGGCAGCGAGTGGGAGAGGTGCGGCGCGATGTCGAGAAAGGTGCGACGCTCATGCAGCGCCTCCATGACGAGCTGCAGCTGCGCGTAGTCGAGGTTCCAGACGGCCTTTTCGAGGTACCGCACGCCGCCGTGGACCAGCTTGGTGCTCTTGGAGCTCGTGCCGGCCGAGAAGTCGTCGCGCTCGACCAGCGCCACCTTGAGGCCGCGCGTCACGGCGTCGAGCGCGATGCCCGTGCCCGTCGCGCCGCCGCCGATGATGAGGAGATCATACTCGGCTTCCGCCTCCTCCCCCGCGCCGTCTGGCTGGCTGTGGCGGCGCAGCTCGGCGAGGTTCTCGGCGCGGCTCTTGATGGCGGGAAAGGTGGGCGGCACGATGCGCCCGCTGGCGTCACGCTGCAGCGCGACGAGGGGTGTGTCAAAGGAGTGCTTGTTGTGTCGGCGGGAGGCGTAGACGACGGTGCCGGCGGTGGCCACGGCTGCGAAGCCTATCAAAGGCTTGCGCAAGCTCAGAAACGCTCGAGACATTGTGTGAGAGGGGTGAATGTGAGGAAGTGGCGGCTATCGGGGGGCACTTTGCGGAGGGCTTGAAGCCAAGCTCAGGCGAATTGTGGTGAGACTAATCGCGAGTTGAATTCTTCCCGGGAGACGATGTCGGAGGAAGAACTGTTGACAAGTCAGGTGTGGAAAATGAAGCAGTCACAAGCTTCGGCAGATGCGGACCGGGTGCCGGCTAGGTTGTAGATGCTGCTAGTAGTTACTATGGATCGGCGAGTGGTGTCGACTGTCGCAGAATGAGTGTCGGGATATTGCGTAGTTCCGTGGTTCAGGTAAGTCTGTCGGGCGAGGGTGTTGTAATGTAGGTTGCGGGTAGGGTATCAAAGGGAAACAAGGAGCAAGAGCAGCGGCGCTACTTTGTTCATAAAGGACGGCAAGGCAAAGATAGCAATGACGCCCACGGTTATCGAAACTGTCAAGCTCGAGACTCCACTCTGAGCTATCGGGTCAGTATGGCGAACAAGAGCGAAAACTCTCGCTGGGGGCTGCACCAGTCAGTTTGAAGGTGCTTTTTCCCCTTGGTGGTCTGAGGGACCCCACGTGTAACCAGGATTGGATTACCGTTGAATGCAACGAGATTACGAAACAAAGGCAAAGGGAAAAAAAAAAAAACTAGCACCAAAACACTTACTCAGGTGATTAGAAAAGGGAGCGGGGGGACAAGAGTAAAAACCCCGAGGACCAGCGTCATGATGCTGCGATTGAAAAGAGGAGACGGCGGAGAAAAGAGGCCAGGAACATGTCGGCAGAGTCAGCAGAGGAGACGAGAATGTGGGAAAAGGGGAACATTGTCCCACCAGTGGCAGGCGCACAAAATGACGACTATCCGGCGGCGCTTCTCTCACAGAGCGGTTGTCGTGCTTTGTCGTTTGTTTTGTCTCGAAATCTTGAGCCAGTTTCATGCAACCTCGGGCTTTGCATACCGAAAACGACCCTTGTTGTGACCGCATTCGGGTCCGGCTCGGTCTTTGCCACCCGAGACATCCACTGGCACCCATCTCGGTTCTGGCTCGGTGGCTGCCACCCGAGAAAGCGGCAACTCCCCCCCCCCACCCGCCGCCACAGGCAATAATCCTTGCAAGCGCTGACAGAAAGGAAAAAACCTTAAAAAAAAAAAAGCCTCGCAATTCCATCACACGCCCGCCGGTCGCGCCGAAAGTCCGGCGCTGGTCCCCCGAAAGCTCCGGTACCCGTCCGGAGCGCCGGAGCTGTGCTGGTCATGCGCCCGTTTATTTTCTGCGCATTTATCATAGAATTCCTCTTTTTTACGTCATTAATTCTTCACCGCGGACTATTTGGGTAACAAGCGTGGCGGCGCCCGCTGAAACCCGCCGGGCTGGGACGCTGCGATCCTCCCCCGCACAATACAGCGAGTGCCCTTGCGCTGGCGCGCGCGCGCGCTGATGTTCCCGTTGTCGACCCCTCGTCTGTCTCATCTGATGTACGACATGATACCCCATGTCGCTGTGAATTACAGATACTATGTGCTTCAAGGTATTCGCGGCCTCTCCCGCGCCTGACACGGAAAAAAAGAAAAAAAAAAGCCCTGTGAACAGCCGGATGGCTAAGAAAAGCCTTGCCTTGTCTTTCAGAACCCCGCCGTTCGTAGTTAGGCCAAGTTCAAACATAGCTAGACAGCCCATAGCGGCGAACGCTCCCTCGCTGCAAAATGGGGCAGACAATTGGAGAAGAGGGGGACAATAATGATACTATTGTACCACGGATCCGTGGGACCTATATTATTAATAGCTTGAGTTCCTACACGCCGGTCTCCTATAACCGCCCGGTATGCAAGGCCACGGCGAGCATGTGACGGCTGCAGTTTACAGCCCGCCGCCGCAGCCTTGTAAGTAACCAGAACCGTGGCCTGATTTCTCTCTCTCTCTCTCTCCTGCCTCTCCATTTTCCATCCATCGCAGAATAACTAATAGTGCGCACCAGGACCGCGCCCGTCTAACCTGTGTAAGCAAGTGACCGCGCGGCCGGACCTCTCCAAGAGAGGCGCAGAAAGCCACAACCAGGCGAAAAGCTTGTTATAAATGCACACGCCCCCCTCTAGCGCCCGAAACTCGTGGTGCGAGTTGGCTAGCTTCGGCTCGGGGGAGAGAATGTTTACGTGTAAGAGCGACCAAGAGGCGGAAAGCTCAGTAAGGACAGAATAAAGGAATCAATGACAAGCTCTTGAGAATTGATTGGTTTGTTTGCCTTTTTTTTTTTTCCTTTTTTTTCTCTGGAAACCGCGTTGCTAATAAGTAGCATCCCACCAAGATGCTGTCATTGTGACTGATTACGCCGGCTGCTACCCGGAGAGCCACCATCGTCCACGAAACTCCCATTCCGATCAATACAAAAGAAGACGCCCCCAAAAAAACTCTGCCCGGCACGTGAATTTGCTGCCAACGCTCGTTTTTTAGTTCCGGGGGGAGTGTGCGGTCTGCCGCGCCTTGGCTAGCCCACAAGAAGACAGACATCCGATTTTTCCTTTCGCGTGGAAAAGGGCTTCCTCGCAGCCTTCCAAGCCAAGCTAGTCAATGCTTTGCATAAACAACCCTGCGCTTCAGCCACAGGTGCATCTGGGCATGTTCCAGACTTTAAAGCGAAAGAGAATATTGCCTGGTCGTCATCGTAAAAATACGCACATCTAGGTGGACAAGTGGATGAAGGGAATAATCAAGGTTTTCTTGGGCTACGCCACGATGCCGTCACAGCTCCCGCACTAAGACCGCCCAGCATCTTGTACCAGGGAAGAGGCGAAAACCTGGTTGGCGGCACATGACAGTGCCAAAATTGTGAGGCTGCGAGTATTGGCCATTGTTAGATAGCAATGGCGATTTTCCACTTGCCAAATCTACTTACTTAGTAGCAAATCATTTTCTTGCTTCACTTTCTCGCCGGTTACAGCGAAGCCGCTATCAGCACTTATCAAGCAAGCCGGAGCCAACGTCATCTGTATACGAAAATTGTATTCAACCTTATAACAATGCTGCATGAAACATAACAACAACAGGTACTGTCGTAGAATATGCCTAATATTCTCCGCTGGATCAATTTTTCAAATCGCTGACCAGCTTCGCTCGCCACCTTTCGAGAGAACCCTTGCCCAATAACGTACAAGAAACATACAAACGCCAAAACTTCATCATCATCAAAACTCGCTCATGTCTCTGAAAACAACAATTCTGTCCCAGCTGCTCCATTCGAAGCCAGTGGCCTTGTAGGCCTCAACTCAGACTCTACCCTCGACCGACTTTCGATACGTGTTGGACCACACATCGCGGCGGGGCTGAGCCAGCCTTTTGAGGCCAAACCATGGCGAGTTGATGGGACTTGGGCCCGTGTAGATGAAAACGTCGTACAGGAAACCGCCAAACAGTGTGCCAAGGAAAGGGGCAACCATGGGAATCTGGGTCCGACATTAGCACAAATCTGCCCATCATTCAGTCATCATGGAACTTACCCAGAAATAGTAACCACCAGCGGAAAAGACTTCGGTGCCGTAGCCAAGAAAGTAAGTAATGAGGCGAGGACCAAAGTCACGAGCCAAGTTGATGGCATAACCCGTCTCCCAGCCCAAACAGGCACCAATACCAAAGATGAGGAAGAAGAGGGCCAGCGGCAGCAGCTTGCCAGCACCGATATTGGCATCATCAACAAGGGCAAAGATGACAAATTGTAGAACAGAACTGGCCAGAAATTCCGAGAAGAACATGCCGGTACGGGTCATGAAGGCGGCGGGGTAAGTGCAAAAGATTCCGGCGGTAGCATTGGCGCCGCTCACGGTTCGGATTCCGGGGCCGCCCTCGAAGGCATCAATGGCTGACTTGTAATTGCCGTATACAATAGCGGCACCAACCATGGCACCAAGGAGCTGGGCGATGGCGTAGACGGGAAACTTGCGCCAAGGGTGACCACGGAAGACACAGTTGGCCAAGGTAACAGCCGGGTTGATATGCCCGCCAGACTTGCCGCCAACATAGACACCGAACATGACACCGATGCTATCAATTGTCAGCCCACATTCAACGTCACAATGGATTGGGAAAGAAGCCTACCCCCAGCCCCACGAGATACTCTGGTAGTCTCCCTTTTCCCCTTTACTCAAGACGACCTGAGCAACAACACCATCACCAAATATGATGAGGATCATGGTGCCAAGGAATTCAGAAAAGGCATCTTGCCAGACGGAGCGGACTTTGGTCCAGGCCAGTTGTTTCTCCTCCGGAGCAGGGATCTCAGGAGCGAGGGTTTCGGGGGTGCTAGGAGGCACCATCTTGCTCTCGTGGTAGGAAGTAATTTTGTCGATGGACGACGCAGACACCGAGCCCTGAGAGACTGGAAGGGACATTGGTACGAGATGAGCAGAAGGAAGATGGAGTCTGGGTTGCAATCGAGAAAATCCCGGATGCAACTCCACGGGGAAGAGGCGGTTAATATGCTCTTTTGTGGTGTGAGGTGAGGATGGTGTGCGGGCCTAGCCGTTGCAACTAAGGACCCCACCGAGGGACGATGAGGAACCCCCGGAATGAACAGGGCAAGCAAGGGATCCGGGGATGGTGTCGAGCAAGGAGTCTTTGGCGAGTGTCTTTGAAGGGCCCGCGGACAACCGTGCGAGGCGAGGCGAGTGAGTCTGGTGGTCTCGGCCGTGAGTGGATCTAGGTGCTTAGGTAGTAGGACCGGGTGATGATGTGTGTAAAGCTTTCAACAGGTTTCGTAATGACTAGGATAAAAGCGGCGGTGATGAAACGAACGAAAAGAAAGCCACAGTGGAAGGGGTGTGAAGGTTGAATGGATTAAAAAATACTATTTAGAGGATGCGGAGGCGCCATGTGTGTGGTGGGCGGCTGGGCCAAAGAGGAGGAGCAATAGACGGAGCGCGAGGGGCGGCGAGGAAGGAATTTCCACAATACGGATACCCGTCTGAACATGGTCAGGGCTCGTGTAAAGATGCGGCAAGTCTGGGGCAAGATGGGCAGAGAGAGGAGCAAGAGGAACCCATGCCCATGTCAAGAAGAAGAAGGTGGGTGTGTGGTGCAGGCTAACGGTAGTGTGACGAACGACTAGCGGGACTGAGGAGGGGCAGGCGAGAAAAAGTGAAAAGGATAATTTAAAGAGGGTTAATAATTAGACGAAAAGAGTCGAAATGGAGGGTCTCATCGGGGTGTAGGACCGAAGAGGGGGGGGAGGGCCGGAAGCGACGAACATGAGGCAGTGGTGTCAGCAGCTGCAGTAAGCAGCTTGTTTTTTCGACAAAAAAAGAGAAAAGAGAGAAAAGAAGACGAAGACACAAAGCCACTCTACAGATTGCGGCAGAAAGTATAGCCCGAGTAGGCTGGATAGCAGGAACAAAATAGTACGTACATAGTATAGACTTGACAGGGTCGCCGGAACTGTCGAGCCCGAGTCCCCGGAGTTTTGGCGGGCGGCGGGCGGAACTGGGCAGCCACTGAGTTCATCTGTACGTGTGGCGCAAACAAGCGTTGGCTGCTCCTTGGCGTGCTCCTTGGCTGTGGCGCCGGTAGCAGGATGGTTGTGCTTCTCGAAAACTGGCCGTGGCATGATGGCGATGAGGAAGAATTGGGCAGTGAGCTCGCCCTCGTGTTGATTGGGCATCGTAATCTCTCTTTTCTTCCCGACATCTGCGTGATATGTAGTGTCTTGGCTGCAGTTTGCTTGCCGGTCTGGCCACGCAGGATGCAGGACGGGTGTTTGACCTGTTTGACCTGTTTGACCTGTTTGACCTGTTTTGGAGCGAGATTTGGCGGCGCCACGCCTCTTCTCTGTGATCTGACACGCCACCCCCGCTGTTCGAATACGCACTCCAGCCCCCAAAATGCCCAGCGACCACCAGCGACCAGTGACCGGGCTGTCCGACGAGGGGTGGTCTGGATGCATTGAGCTGAAAAGATCTAGTTACCCCGTGTCGTGTGCTGTCAAAATAGCCGACGACTAGGATGACTACAAATTATTTGGTTGTATTTTGAGGCTAGGCACTTGCGCATAAGGCATAAGACAAGGCTTGACAACCCGCGAGGCTACCGCGAGACGACGCTTGGAAGGGTCTAGAGCCAGGAGAACTGAGTCCTGCATGTTCCTAATGTAAGTCGTCGTGCTCGATATTTGTTGCGCATTGGCAAATTTCCCAGCCATGTATGCCCCCTTTTTCGCGCTGCTGCCGCCCACCAGGCGTCTGCAGATGACCAGTAGAGTTTTGATGACAGTTTTGATGACAGAGTACACTGGGCCTGTTCTGTTGGCTGATGATGATAGCAGGCTGTGCTATTAATAATAGAATGGTTCACTCGCCATGAACGCCTCCACAGACGACAGGTCAGGGAGGCAGGGGCCCCGAAAGAAAACGGCGTTTCGGTGAGAGGGTGAAAAGCCCGGTCTGCTTGGCAGAGCTCTGTAATAACTACCTCCTAGTCGGTACCTCCTACAAATTACATAACTACCCTAGTAGTAATCCGTAGTCTCGGCAGACTGGAGCTGACTGATTGTCTGCCGACGGGTCAACACCCTTGTCATCACCCCCCGGGCGCGCCTGACAGGCATTCGGCCCTTTGCCCCGAACATGGTTGGTCTACCATGCTAGTGTCCGATTCGGGTCGCTCCATAGAAACTATCTAGAAGCCCTCAAGTCGTTTTCGGTGTTCAAGACCGAGATTTTCTGAGTCTGACAAGAGGCGGCGGGGACCTTGGGAAACTGCCAATTCTCCATTATTTGACACTGGTGCGGAGCTTCGCTTTCTCAAACGCAAAAAGCGACAACAAGCTTGTGCCAATGGCCGCGTTGCAACGTTCTCAACCCGTGGCGCCCGGCGAGGCCCCTCAAAAGCTGACCGAGCTGTGGCGCTGGCCTGGACATTGCAGTGTCTTGCGCTCATTCAGGATGCCATCATCGTGAGTTGTGACATGACATCCCAGCCCAGTACCCCCACGCCCCCTGAGGCGACTCCTAGCCGAATTGACCCCCAGCTTGTGCATGAGGCTTCCCACGTCACGAATAATGCGCAATGGAGAATTGTTTCCCATCCCGTGACGCTGCGAGTTTCTTCTTCCCCACAACATACTGGCCCGTCGGTGGTTGCTGCTCAAGATCTCATCCCACCACTGAGGACCGAGGTCTGCGTAAGAAAGAAAAGTGTAGGCGCATATCAAGTCGTTTTCTTCAGTAGGTAGTATATAGTTTGTGCTCGGCATGTGCATGCATGCATGTCCAACGGCTCAGCTGGCCACCCCTGATGATGAGGGGAAGCTCTGCATCCGGCTTGCTCCAAAAAGGAATAATAGCGCGGGGATCAGCCTCGAGAGCTCGAGAGTCGAGAAACGGGAAATTGAGGGCTTGACAACAGACAATGCTTCTCCGTCGGCTCGGACGTGGCTTGAAGTGCGGCGCCTCCAAAAACCGCTTCCCCGTGGGCTTGGGAACTGGGGAGCGTCGGCGCCACCAGAAAACGGGGTCTGGGGAGAGCCAGGTTGCGTCAGGCCCTCGTCCCCTCCACATGCTAATTGCACGAGAGTACAAGTATTTTTGCTATCCCCCATCTTGCCCAGCTGAAGCTTGTTCCTGTCTTTTTCTGTAGTAATTCCTCTTGGTCTTGTCTCAGTTATCTGCCTCTCTCTCTACTATACCATCTAACGAGCCCCTCTTCTTTCTTACCCTTCCACCACCCAATAAATCGTGCTGCTGCGACCAGGAGAGCTTCCCCGCCATACTTTATGCTTGCCAACCTCATCTCCCAGAGTCACTCCAAACTCGTCAACGCCATGACTTCTTCCGGCAACGATGTCTTCGTCGGTGCCATTGACCAGGGCACCACAAGCACGCGCTTCCTCATCTTCAACACCGATGGCGAGGTCGTCGCCCTACACCAGATTGAATTCAAGCAAATCTATCCCCAGCCCGGGTACGTTTCCACCCCTCCATGACCCCGCCAAAGCTGCATTGCACACATTGTCGCACGCAATCGCAATCGCAATCAATCGCGCAGCCCCAGTCAATTTTTCTTCTCCATTTGGCTAATCTTTCCTTTTCCCAGTTGGCATGAACATGATCCCGAAGAAATCGTAACATCTGTCGAGCAGTGCATCGACGGCGCCGTTGCCGCCTTTGAGGAGCAGGGCCACTCCCGCAGCCAGATCGCCGCCGTCGGCATCACCAACCAGCGTGAGACCACCATTGTCTGGGACAAGACAACTGGAAAGGCTCTTCACAACGCCATCGTCTGGACCGACACCCGCTCCCAGGAGCTCGTCCGCCGCCTCAAGCACCGCCTCGGCTCCAAGGAGCTGACTAGTCGCTGTGGCCTTCCCTTGTCCACCTACTCCTCTGTCGGCAAGCTCCTCTGGCTGCTCGAAAACATCCCCCAGGTCAAGGAGGCGTACGAGAGCAGTAACCTTTCGTTCGGCACCGTTGACGCCTGGCTCGCCTACAAGCTCAACGGCGGCCCCGCCAAGGACGTCCACGTCTCGGACCCCTCCAATGCCTCGCGCACCATGTTCATGAACCTCGAGTCTCTCGAGTATGATGCTGAGTTGCTGGACTGGTTCCGCCTCGACCGTAACAAGGTCCAACTGCCAAAGATTGTCCGCTCCTCCGATCCCGAGGCCTTTGGCACCCTCGCCAACACGGCCCTCAAGGGCACCAAGATCACTGGCTGCCTCGGCGACCAGTCCGCCGCTCTCGTCGGTCAAAAGGGCTTCACACCCGGCCTGGCCAAGAACACATATGGCACCGGGTGCTTCCTCCTGTACAACGTCGGCCCCAAGCCCATCATCTCCACCCACGGTCTGCTGTCCACTGTCGCCTTCGACTTTGGCCCGGGCAAGACCATGTACGCGCTCGAGGGCAGCATTGCTGTCGCCGGATCTAGTGTCAAGTTCCTCGTCGATAACCTCGGCTTCATCGAGTCCTCCTCCAAGCTGAGTGCTCTCGCGGAGACTGTCGAGGATAATGGTGGTTGCACCTTTGTTACCGCCTTTAGCGGCCTCTTTGCGCCATACTGGATTGATGATGCTCGCGGTACCCTTTTCGGCATCACCGCTTACACAAAGCGCGGCCACATTGCCCGCGCCACCCTCGAGGCTACCTGCTTCCAGACCAAAGCTATTCTCGACGCGATGGAGAAGGACAGTGGTCAGGCTCTGACCGAGCTTGCCGTCGATGGTGGCATGTGCAACTCGGATCTTATCATGCAGGTTAGTGCCAAAGCTGTTCTCACGACAGCATCAGACCGAAAACTAACAAATATTCGCATAGACACAATCCGACTTCATCGGCATCCCCGTAAATCGCCCCGCCATGCGTGAGACGACTGCCCTTGGCGCTGCCATTGCCGCCGGCCTGGGCGTTGGCATCTGGAACAGCCTTGAGGACCTGAAAACCGTCAACACCGATGGCCGCACAACCTTTAAGCCTAGCATCACGGCCGAGGAAGCTAGCCGCCGCTTCGCCCGCTGGGAGAAGGCTGTGGAGATGAGCAAGGGCTGGGCCAACTAAGCTCAAGTGCATGGTTGCTGATGGGATTCTGTACGATTACGGCGTTGTTGTTCTTCTTGCCCATTTTTCTGTTGATACTTTTGGTGCGAAACGCATGGTGGCTAGCTAGCAACAGCTCCTTTTAACGCGGCTCAAATGAGCTTCGGAATGAATGCATGACAAATATTCTCTTCATGAATCAAAGTTACATTCACCGCTTTCAAGAATGCCGTACCCTGGTTCTGTGACCCTTGAGAAGCATGCATTGTATCAAAATTCGTCGAGCACAAGCGGCGTCATGCGTAGTTGAAACCATTGACCAACGATGAGAACTGTTGGTGCATCAATCAGCAGTTATTCTCGGACATGGTAACACAGGCAGCTGACAAGTTTGCCGGCAAACGTGGCAGCGTTGTTACACAATTTCTCGGGGACAAAGGCCTGTTACCTCGGGGCCTCGTCCCCGCGTGAGCTACCAGCGCTAGCTAGCTGTGCTGTGGCAAAGATGACCGCATGACTGGGTAGAGACGGCTTCTGAAAGCTGGGGTAAAACGTGGCTGAATATGGCCAGCGCGGGAGAAACAAGTGGCGTGATGGTTGGTTGAGCAGGGCTGTTAATGGGAGTAGATCCGTATTGTATTCGTGATATGGAAAAAGAAAGCTGGGGTCAATCAAGGACCAACGGCGTTGATGGCCAAAACGCAGCACAGTGGATTTATGATGTCGCTACAGCGGCCTTGTAGCTTATTATTCTCCGCTGTAATGCTCTGTAATAATAATGCGCTATAAGTCTGAGGAGAGGGCCTGAACAGGACCTGAAAAGCTCAATCCACAGGCTTAGTAATGGTGCCTGGATGCAGTGGCAAAGCTTCTGGAACAACGGACACAACGGACACTCCCCAGGACCATGACGCCAGTTTGCTGCGCGACAGCGAACAAAGCGTGGAAGCCCCTCACTTTCCCCAAGCCATGCAAATCCTTTTCACTTCCACACCACCACCACCAAACACGACTCCGTATTCCGACCAGTTGACCAGTCATCCCGTCCCATGTATTCTCCATCCAACCCGCCACCAGCTGCTCAAAGCTCCTCCCGTCCGCTAGTCAGGGCCTTGTTCACCGTCATCCTTTTCCACCAGGCATGACGGTTTCCACACAATTGCGACGCCCAGAACAGCCGGACATGGTCCTCGCAACGCCAATGCCGAGCATGACTTAAAGGCGGACCCAGTCCTCGGTGTCCAAACTGCGAACCCGAACCCAGATCTCGCTCAAGCCAGTTGTGCCAAAGCAAAATATCTTTCTACCAGTGTAGGTACAACGTACGCGCTGCCGCTGTAAGAGTGTGGCAAGTATCGCTGCTGTTATGTGACTCTACCATCAACCACTATGTGAGCATCTCATCCTCGCATCTTCTTTCAACCTATTTGCGGAGGTAACTTAGCTTATATTCTTTAACAGATCAACTCTATCTTCTATCAATCGGTTCTACGATACCCTGTCGCCCGTATCGCACTATTCTTCCGGCCTCGCCCTCTCTTTCCAATATTGCCTGACGCGCCGAGATCTCATCGTCTCCCAGTTTTCTTCGCTTTCTACCTTATCACAGACCCATCTCGGGCGGGCCTCCAGACAGGTGTGGAGGTTCTCCACGACAGCATAACCCCTTCGGACTTCGATCCGTCAATCCGTTTTGCTTTTTTCTCGCCGTGCAGTGTCTCCTTCCCTGCCCATCTGTCAAGATTCGCTGGACACACATCAATCACTTCCCAGATAACCCACTATAACTCGCTCCCCAATGCCCGAGGAGGAGCAAGTCTTGGCGGCACTTAGCCAGCATGATGAGCATGATGGCTCCAGCGGCGACGAGGCCAGAGACAATGCCTCGACCGACTCTGCCGGAGGCTCCAAGAAGAGGAAGCGTGGCAGGTATCAAAAGACCTCGTGAGTAAACTCCCTCCCTGCACAGGAATCTGCGGGTCTCGGCAGCCTTACCCATTTTAATCTTGCTGGGGTTCTCATTAACTCTGATCCCGCAGATGTGAGCTTTGCAAAGCAAGAAAGGTCAAATGTGACCGGGCAGAGCCTGCCTGTGCCTGGTGCGCCCGCCATAATCGTACCTGTGTCTATCTTGAGCGGCAGAAGCCTGGCAGCCGCATAGGCTTCAGCCTCGAGTTGGAAGCCAAAGTCAACCGGATCGATGCACTGCTTCAAACTCTTGGTCGTCGAGTAGAGGAGCATATCGCTGACGGGCACACTGGACACTCGCAGACTCTATCGCCAGCCATCAGCAACCACACACAATCTCATATCGACCTTTATGCGCAGGATAGAAGTAGGAGCAGTCCTGCTAGTGGCGCGGCTCGAAATACACCCTCAGTGGCGGCTGGTCCGCCACCTGGACTCCCTGGGCAAGGCTGGGATGACGGGGACCAACGCTTGGGGCGGATGACTAGCCAGGGAATGAATGCCGACTACACCAACGCAACTCTGCCCGCACTTCGAATAACGCCGCTCCGCCGAGGACCATCGGCGCTGTCTGCTGGTACAGACCTGCCGGCTCAGGATGTTGTATACACGCTGGTCGATCTGTATTTTAAACACTGTAACACATGGTCTCCCATCTTGGATCGGAAAACGACATTCAGCATTTTCTTTGGTTCGACATCACTGAACGAAGCCGATCGAGTTTTATTACATGCCATTGTGGCGACGACATTGCGATTTCTGAAGGACCCTAGATTCTCGCCCGAAATGCGCGCGCACTATCACGAAACCTCTCGTCAGATTGTTCAGATGTACGCCATGGAGCATGTCAGTGTCGAAGCTCTGCGTGCTCTCGTGATTGTCTGCCTTGACGAACTAGGCACGTCCAATGGACCCCGAGGATGGAACCTGCTCTCGCTTCTTGCGCAAAACGCTCGGCAACTCAGCCTATGTGAAGAGAGCAGCGTTTTCCTTTCCGTTGAAACCAGCGACGACTCACCCATGACTGGAGCTATCAGACGTATTGCCATCGATCGGCCGCAGTCTTGGATTGAAGACGAGGGCCGCAGGCGGCTCGCCTGGATGGTCTACCTCCTTGACCGATATGCGACGATTGCTACAACGACATTCGACTTCATGCTAGACGACAACAAGATGAGGAGGGTATTGCCATGCTCTTATGACCTCTTCTCCCGTGATATTCCCGTCGAGACACGTTCTTGGGGCTCGAGTCCCGACCAACATGGCGCGGCTGGACTTGTTGTGAATAAGCCGGACAACCTGGGCAGCTTTTCGTACCACTGCGAAATCCTCCGCATATTGAGCAAGGTTCATGACTTTCTCAAGACGCCATTAGATATCACATCCTCTTCCGAAATGGCAGCTTGGAGAAATACCTATCGATCGCTGGATGCTTCGCTCGACTCCTGGCTGCGAGGGCTGCCTGGCGATTATAGCAAGATTTCTGCTCTGTGTCACTCGGATCCTGCTAGCCGCGTCGCCAACTGGTTCATGCTGCACAGCGCCTACGTCACGGCCGTCGTGCGTCTTCACTCTTCCGCGGCATATCCGACTGTGCGATCACATCTGTTCGTACCCTCCCACTACGCCATGCAGCGCTGCCTGTCAGCTGTGCAGAGCCTAGGTGACATTGCACAAGACGTGTACGAAGCTAGTGGACTAGATCATCTCGGCCCGCCATTCATCTTCTCTCTCTGGGTTGCCGCTCGCTTACTGCTTGTCCACGCTGCGACGGTTGGCTGCCCGGTTGACCCCCGCATCGAGTTCTTTATTGAGATTCTCGCGCATGTTGGACAGTACTGGGATGTCGCCGACACCTATGCCAATGTTCTCGCGCGGGCTGTTCAGCGCGGCAGACAAAGCGATACGAATTTCAACGCCATGCGACAGTGAGCATTTTAGCTTCAGCATTTCACGCAATGTACTAACATGGGTCACTACAGGAGCGCACACGGCCTCGTCACACTCACAGCATCAACCCGCCAAACAGGCGTTGAGCCTACCTCGACCCAGATTACCTCTCTGAGCGAGCTGGACAACATTGATATCTTTGACTTTTTCAATTATCCCAAACTATCAGAGTCGGCGGTGCAAGCCTTGGGTGCCCAATCGCAGTCACAAAATACAAACGGCGGGACAGCGCGGCTGCCGGACCCAGAATCTGACTGGCTGGGATTTGTCCCCCACGGCGCATAAAGCTATTTAACATGTACTGCCTATTTATTCGTCATTTCCACGTACTTATACCCAGGATGTTACCTCTGCATATGGCTGCAGACGGACACATCAGCGATGGCAAGCTCAATTCCACACCTATAAACGCACGATTGATCATCCTTGGACTAGGGTGAAACTGCACGTACATGTCTTGACCATACATGTATTTCATTGCTCCTGAACGAACCCAGGCTCGCGAAGCAGTGGCTACATGAACTCGCCAAGACCATCCCCTGCCTGAAAATGGACTGTTCCGGCCTAACTACTACTTGCCGGCTGATTCAGTCGCGGACGCATGAAATCATCGGGACTGTCTTCATCTGACCGCCTCTACATGTTTTTCTGTGCTTCGGCTGAGAGGGAAAAGTTGTCATATACGCCCGGACGCTTCTCACAAAATTACAGCTGGGAAAAGTGATGAGGGGGGAGGGGGGGAGGGGGTTGTCCGGGTTGTCCTCCACAAGGCTGCTACGTCCCACGGAGATGTATGTAGGCAGTCACCGTACCGGAGAATTTTTCGTTAACACAGCCTCTATCGCGAGATTGGGTGGAACGGCGATTGCCTATCAGAGTGAGGCTGAGCTTGAATGATGTCTTGGTGTTGAGCTGCGGATGCGATCCAGAAGAGCTGCTTCGGGTCCCGCGGCGCTCCATGGTACAAGCACGCCACGTGCCCGACCAAAGGGGTCAAGAGGAGGGTTCCAGTTGTTGGGAAGGAAGACTTTGACACCATGTAGCTTCCTTGCCTCGGCGTACATATTGTAGATCCAATCTCAATCAGTCAACGACAGTCAAGTATCTCGATAGTTCGCGCAGCACCCGTCATAGTTGTGGTCTTCCATTCAGATCTGGAAAGGCTGAGAGATGGTACCAGTGGCGCGGTACATGGGAAGAAAACAATTTAACAACCGAGTCAGTCTTGTATTGTGATAACTGACAAGACGGCTGACGATGCTGTTCTGTGGCTCCTTCTCGCCCGGCCTCTGTGTTGTCTTGGCGTGTCGGGCGTACAAGGCGCCACAATTGCAAAGACAACATCTGTGACAATACAGGGAAAATAAAGCACCACGCACTTGCGCCGGTTCTGCACGCTTGTGTGAGAAGATCATTGCAACAGCAACTGTTGAGGCGCGGCCCGTGTCCGTGGACCTCTTTCAGTTGTTGCGTATCTTACCCTTGACGCGGGTTTTGATGACAATCAACTTCCTGTCATCTCTTGCTCTTGCTTTCTTTTTTTTTGTCGATATATGGCGGTATTTATGCTGTTATTGTACACATTAGGAGGTTCAGTATTGATAAGGACTGTGTCAAGCACTGAATACAACCAGCTTTCAGGTACGGGCGGAGCAAAAGATGTCGGTTGTAGCTATGGGTTGGACTTAAAAGGCCTTGTATGGGTTTTCTTTTTCCTTTGTATCCCTTAGTCGCAGAGTATACAGTGAGTATCGTTTAATGTTGCATAGTAGCAAGGTTGAGAAATTCTTGTCGGCTTCGTCGGTTATGGGAGTTGGATGTTGCAGTGTCAAACACCGATAATAAAAGTAAGGCACCCCCTACATGGTGTGAGTGCTCTATTCCGCCTCATATTATCTTTCAACTATCAATTACATAGTGATAGTAGGGCAGGGCGGCTCCACAGGCCGCGCAATAGAAACCTTATTCCATGCATGCATCGCATTGCCGGGTGGGCTCGTCGATTCGATTCAGGAAACGACAGGGTCAGCCAATTACTTTTGTTCTTTTGGTAAGATGAGGTGTCGATCTCTGCGGCCTATTCCCGCGAGCTGCTTTTGTGCATGCCACACAAAAAAAACGGCGGGTTGCAGATTGGCAGAGCCCAGCATCAAGAGTTTCAGGGTCCCCTTGGCATAGATAGGTATCTGCTGGTGCGAGCAAAGCGATTCTCTCCGCCACAGCGCCACGCAATACAATGACTCGCACGAGAATCGCCTCGAACTGGCTTTGAAGCAGTCAACAATGGGGTCGAAAAGACGAAGTGATGAATGCCCCCATGGACAAATAGTCAGGGCAACAACTCGGAGGGAGGCCGTCCGGGTCCCCACGCGGCAGGCCGACCAGCCCTACGATGGCGTCGTACGGACCTCATCTCATACCTTCCTCTCCTGTCAACTTGCCCCATGAATGTGGAACAAGGGCAAGGGTGGCACCGAACAGGCGGAGCGTTGACGTCGACAAGCGGTAACCCCTGTTAGCGCTCGCATTTCTTGGCCTAACCCGACCGCCTACGTTGCCGCTTGGGAGGAGCAACGTAATCCATCCCATCGTGGCCCTTGCCCGCTTCGCTTTCAGACCGCCGCAAGTCAGCCTCCCCCCTGCCAACCATGTCGTGACTGGGGCCCTGCGGCGGGCAAAGCCGACGGTCTCGGAGGCGGCACTGCCATTATCTATTCTTGCAAAGCAGCATCCTATACATGATGTGGTGCTGTTTCGGGGTTGAGGGGACGCGCTCCCATCGTCGTCGTGCAAGCCTGCATCTTCAGCCTTGCTTGCCGAGCAGCCCACCTGATGAGGCGGCGCAGCATCTTTTACCCCCTCAATGAGGCCAAAAAAAAAGGACAGAGACCCTAATGGTTATTATTACCAGTGGAGCTTGGCCGATACGAAAGGCAACGCCCTGGGGGCTAGCCACGGCGGCTCCCTTCTCTATTTGCCCGGAGACCTTGCTCGAACCCGTAGGATCAGGTGGTTCGACGTCGTAGGAATATGAGGGGAGACGCTGATTCGTGAGACTTGATGCTTGTAGCATTGGTTGGGTGTAGCACGCAGTCCCCCAGCTTGGACCAGCATATATATGCTCCGTGTCAGGCTTCCGCAAGCCGCCGTTGTGTAGCGACTATAAGCAGTCCATTTTGTTCCAATCACAATCATTCATCTGAACTCTATCCCTTTATCTTGTCCCTACTTTTCCCTTGTCACCTACCTATAGTCCTTCCTTCTTATACTTGGGACTTGAGATCCAGCATCGTCAAGCTTCTTGGACCCTTTCTGTTGGCATCCAGGTTGCCACCAAAAAAACAAGTAGCCATAATGGCCATGGGCTTCTTGAAAAAAGCCTCTCGCCTCGCGCTGCTGGTCAGCGCGGCCTCTACACTCTTTCTCTTCTTATCACTATACCACATCTTGTCCCCAAGCATCGCCTCCCCCGAGAGACTCAAAGCCGCCGCCGACACTGTCGACCACTGCCACACACCAAGGAACAATACAAAACCTCGGATACCGAACAAGATTCACCAAATATGGAAGGACAAGGACCTGTCCACCTATCCGCTCACGGCTTCGACAGGTGCCTGGGAGTCCACGTTTGAAAACAAAAACTACACGATAAGACTCTGGACCGAGCAAGACATTGTAAATCTCGTCAAAGCATCATATCCTTGGTTCCTTTCTACATACGAATCATACAAGTACAACATCCAACGCGCCGACGTTGCTCGCCTGATGGTCGTCCACCACGAGGGGGGCCTCTACGCGGACCTGGACGCCTACCCTTCGCCCGACACCTCGGCCGAAACTATAAACTGTCTACAAAGCCTCGGCTACCAGGTCATAATCGCTCCCACGAGTGAGGATAGGGGCATCAGCAACCACTTCTTCATGGCCGAGCGAGATGCCGAGTTCCTGCTGTGGGCGTTGCACGAAGCCAAAAAGAGAGCGACGTCGCTTTCCGGACGATTCATGCTGCCCTATGTGGCCGTGTTTTGGTCCACCGGCCCTATGATGATCACCTCGGTGATGAATGAGTACGCCTGGCTGTACAACCAGGCGTCAGAGACCAAATCCATGGCGGTGCTCAAGGACTCGTTCCTCCACAGCTTCCTTCACCACGCCGCAGGTCGGTCTTGGCATGGCTCGGACGGACGTGCCCTCAACTACATTGCAGATCACTTCAACGACGTGCTTGCCCCTGTTCTACTATTCCTTGTCGCTGTCGCCACTGCTGTCATCATCGCGCGGCGCTGGGGGCAGGTTCGGCCACACATCTACAATATTGTCCGCATGTCACGATCATGAATAGCATAGCGACCTCGGCGTTTTACGGGACATGCTCTTTTTTGTACAACTTGTTATACCACATGAAAACTGACTTCTATGCTTGTCGCTTTGAACCCTTTGCTCAGGCTCTAATAGGACTTTAGCTTACTAATCTGGTACACTGTAATTTATCACTTTACCATGTAAAGGTTGACAGGAGTAATTTCATCAACAATTCATCAAACGCTGCGAGGCAAAGTTTGTTATCTGCTGCATTATATTCCTAGTGCTCTGCTATCATCTCCCTGCGTTCCTCCTTCAACCCATAATTGTTTCTCAGCGAGGGTTCCGTACCAAACTCAGGAGGTCATGGCAAGTCCTCGATCGCAAAGCCATGGCTCTCATCAGCCTATAGAGCTAAAAAATGATACGCTGCCATCCTGGCTCCGTTTCCGTATCTGGGCAAGCCAATTTCTCTACCGAGGCAGAAATCGAGGCGGTAACCGACGCAATATAGTCCGACTTCCCTTTGGAAAAGTAGCCAAGCTCTGGACCACCATGAATGAGCTGGAGGCGATGGAGTATGTGAGACAGCATACCAGCATACCTATCCCGAAGCTCTATGAAGTGTACAGACACAAGAATGGCACCATCAGCCTAGTCATGGAGGGCCTACCTGGGAACGGCAGCGACTATGCTCGGATGGGCCCACGGGAAGTTGAGGCCTTTGGTCGGGAGCTCTCTGGATACATTCTACAGCTTCGGAGCCTGGAGCCGCCAGAAGCTGGTTTTGTCGGATCCGTCACTGGTGGACCGTTGGTAGATCATCGAGTTGGCCATGTTCCCTTTGGGCCCTTCCACAGCGTCGCAAACTTTCACTTCTACCTACGCCTCGGCAGTCGCCTGCAGGATTGGACACAGGGAGAAGTAGTGAAACGCGTCCACGCAGAATCGCACAACTACAAGGTCAAGTTCACTCACGCTGACCTGAATCCTCGAAACATCCAGTACTACAAGGGCAAGATTGTGGGCATCATTGACTGGGAATTTGCGGGATGGTATCCAGAATACTGGGAGTATACCAAAATGCTGTGGGCAGACGCGCCTAATTATAAACCATTTTTCAGAGCTGTCGAAGGCGAGCCCAGCATTGAGAAGTACCGCGAGGAAATTGAGGCAGAGCGCGACATTTGGCGGCTGATTAGCCACTGGAGGTATGATGATTACTACGGGGAGCAAGAGAAACGCGACGCTGTGTATGCGGCTTTGGGAGAGGATGTCGCGAGGAAGGCTTCTATGCAACAGGCTCTCCAGACGACCTAGATTCCTTTCGCGGATGGTGTGTGTGTACGCAGGCAGCAATGGCTTGGAATTTTCTCCGAGGCAACAAGTGCAGAGAAATATTCTTGTCAATTGTAATGATATATCACTAAGCCTCGTAGTCTTCCGACACGACATCGTCGGACATGGCTCGACCCCATTAGTGGTGAGTAAAACACATTTCGGCTGCCATTGCCCTTCAACGAGCCTTGCACAAACCGTGACGTCTCACACAACCAGGCGGGCATCTATACCATGGATTATACTGCCACGAAAAGTACGGATCCGTTTCATTTGTCAAGACTTCGCCAATCAGTGTCGTGGCCGGGCCCACGTCAACTGACTGACGAAACACCTCCATCGACGGGATACGGATCTGCCGCCAGCCTTGCTCAATCAGCCATTCGATTGAGGTGCCGTAAATGTACTCTTCAAAGTTTGCCCATCGGATAGCGGAAGCACACATGGGACAGCTCTCAGCGTTTGTGTATAAAGACAGTTGGGAGAATGCCAGCAGTGATTCGCTTGCGGTGAGCTTGTAGGGTCCTTGGGGGTCTGTTAGAATGCTCGTACAGTTCTGCATGGCTGCGATTTCGGCTGTGAAGACCCGATTAGTCATTATAAGCCTAAAATCTAGCATGGCCCTTTTACGTGAAGAAAAAAAAAGGAAGACGAGAATGACTAGAGAATGGAAAGAACATTACCGTGCGATGTCGGGTTCCCGGTATTTGCCTTGTCATTGGCACCGATACAGATGAGGTCTCCAAGGCCGTCGCCGGTATGGTTCACAATGGCCGCTCCAAACGCAGCAAATGGACAAGGACTATCCAAGATTTCTGCAAGCGCCTGGTTTGCCCTCCTCATCCAGTGTGACCGAGTTGTGGGCGCGATGCCGTTCACTGTCAGCGCACTGTTGGCTGGGGACGTCTCCAAGGAATAATCAGACGCGTGCGCATACCTACCTGTGGACAGATGTCGCTATGGCTATGCTGGCAGCTAGTGCCGAGAGCAAAGGGTGAGAGAGCCATGTTTGGTTGACCGCGACAACAATATGAAGAGAATGGAGAGCGTCGCTACTTGGTGGCTGGTGAGAAGTAGTGCTGAACATGTAGGGCGTGCGTCGCACAGTACGTACCAATGGCGGGGTCGAGGTTGGTGATGTCTGAATGACATCAAACAAATAGGGAAATCAAAAAGAACTATAGTCAGGCCATTGACGATTAGCCATCAATATTCCAAGCTTGGTGCTCTGGAGCTTCCCTCGGCGTGGGTGGTAGGTAACATCAGTAACAGGAAGGTGCCCCTTGCCCTAGCTTTGCTGTGACATCAGACATCAACTCCTCATTTCCTCATCTCCTCGAAACAAACATGCAGTCATCATGCGCCATCTTGGTCCTATTTATCCATACGCAGTACAAAATCATATAGCATGATTATCCATCTCACATTCGAGCTTTTCATCCAGCCCCCGTCGCAATCCATCAAGTATGGGTATGCAAACGGACGAAAGCTCCTTCACAACCAGCACCCCCAACGATCCATATCCAAATGGCTTCATCGACCTCGAGGCGGGGTGCGATAGGCATCCAGAGAGGCCGACACGGCTTGTTCCGTCTTGGCGTCATATCCGAGACAAAGTGTTGGCATCAGAGCTCAAGGCATGGTGCCAGCATCCGGAGACCATCAACTACGGACACTGCCGACGAATGTCCCTGGTCCAGTTCAGCGCCTGGCTGGTTTTCTTTTTCGTGTACCAGCTATGTCTGGGGCCCTTTGCCGACACATTTGGCTTCCAATGCTCGTCCACGGGCACTATGAGTAATGCTGTCCTCGAGACAATGTCGACTTGGGTCAGCGTAGCTCTGGCGGCCGCAACAGCCTTTCTGCTTGGACAGGGTTACACCGCGTAAGATTGCCTGCATTTTCGCAGTGAGTTCAAGCAAATGCTAACAGAGCGAAGGGTACGGTTGGCGATGGAGAAGATGGAAAATATTCGAGAATGCATCATTACGCTCGCATACGCGTTAATCAAAACTATAGGCGTACCTGATGGAGGCCACTCGCCAGACGAGTTACAACTCACGGTGTAGTACGGAACTTGCCAAACAGTCCCCAACTCAAAAGGTTGCTAATGACTGGAACAGCGAATGTCTGGCACTTCTGGTCGCATACCCCGTCGCACTCATCCACCAAGTGAAAGGAAACAGGTGCAATCCTGCCGTCAGACAATATTGCCAGCAAGCTGCCTACCGAATAAAACAGTTTCACAACGGCTCAAAGCCTGTCCCCGGGTCGCCATGTACCATCAGCGAAGACAATGATGGACCCTTGTACGGCGTCATCAGAGTTGAACACTATTTTGAGCTTTGGTCTCTGAACCTAGAAAAAGAGTTTACCGACCAATACACCAGACAGGGACCCCCATCCATGTCGCCGCAACACATTTTATACACCTTGCGCAACCATTTCGAAAACATGATCGACAACCGCTGCCTCGACCCTGTTCGGGCGAGTTTTGTCCGTAAGTGAACCAAGACGCCATGAATTCATATTAAGTCACGCGTTTAACAGACATCAGGGGAGAAGATCAATATGCTAGCCCTCGCTGGAGGTGAAAGTTCCGTGTACGGCGGACCTAGTGTGGCGCCTATCTTTCTATTTGGGGTTGTGGACGTTATCGGAAGGGGCGTCGCCGTGGTCTTACCGATACGACAGTGTCAGTGGATCGTCTCACAGAGCGGCATAAACCTGGGCTTGTCGTTCCGGATTATGGTGCTGGCCATGGCGAGCGCCTTGATTATGATGGTCTTGACCGAGATGTGGTCTTTGCGGACTCCGTTTCAGAGTGGCATAAATACATTTCCGTGGACTCTGGGCATCGCCTCTGAAACTGACAACATGCTCAACGAATTCGACGAGAGTCGGACTGTGCTACCGGTCCGCGAGCACAAGTACCTGGACGTCGGTGACTGGTCCTCTTACTCGTCATCCAGATACCTCTCGTCGTCTAGCTACAACTCGTCGTCCGTGGCGTCGCCGTCCACAGCAACGCAGTAGAGAGAGATGGAAAGGGGAAAAAGGTGTTCCTATCTTGGTATAATTGTAATATCATACCTAGCATTGCGCGTTTATCCTTAGAAGCATATTTTTAAATATACTATGTCTTTATTCTTCTTCCCTTGCTTGTATCTTCTTTAATCTTCCAAGTATTTATTACATAAGACGCGTGTACGTAAGTACTTTATAAACTTGGATGAGATTTTTTAAACCTGATTGTGATTCTTTCGCTACCAACTAGTATCAAAGATATTTCGCACACATCTACAGAGGTATCATTTGCTTCTTTCTTCCCGGCCGTTGCTTCGTTTCACCTCGTCTTGTTGTTGGTCTCTCTCCTCCTCTTTTGTTTTTTAATTACAGCGCCAGCATCGCGGCCACAAGCAGGACAGCACTGGCGAGCAGCGGCGCCGGGGCGCGTGCCAGGGCGGCCGCGTTGTCGTTGACAATGATGGGCTTGCCGTAGTAGGTCGGGTCGTATGGCCCGGCCGGGGTGGTGGTGTTTGTGTTGCCCTTCCAGCAGTAGCGGTCGAAGCACTTGGCGCACTGGGCGGGGACGGTGGCGTTGGCGCGGTAGAAGCTGCGGGCGAGGATGGCGCAGGCGACGCAGGCGGGCCACTCGGTGTCGCGGGTGGCGTTGAGCTGGGTGGCGACGGCCCAGCCATTGTCGATGAGGGCGGCGCGCTCGGGGTCGCGGACGGTCCAGGTAAACGTGGTCAGGTTGCCGTTGTAGACGTAGGGGTGGTTGGGGAGCCAGACGACGAGGGGCGCGACGGCGCTGCCGTGCGCGGTGAAGTTTGTGGCGTTGCAGCCGAAAAACGCCGGCCGCGTGTTGAGGCCGAGGTTGCGGACCGTGTTCTTGTCCGGGACGGCGGCAAAGGGCACGTCGCGGAAGGCGAGCTGCTGCGAGCGCTCGTACGTGGCGGCGAGGGCGGAGCCGTCGGGCCAGCCGTACTCGGTGTCCGAGGAGGCGTCGTAGGCGAATACTACGTCGACGGCGCGGTCGGGGAGCAGGTGCGGGTGAAAGGGCACGTTTTGGGCGTCCTCGCTGCCGTCGACGAGGTTGAGGCGCGAGGAATTGGCGTTGCGGTTGGTGGCCGGGTTGAAGCCGCGAAAGGGGTTCGGCGACCACTCGGCAATGTCGTAGGCGGTCGAGTCGCTGAGCGCCGCGATGAGCTTGGTGGCCGTCTTGATGGCGAAGTCGGGGACGTCGCTGGGAATGTACTTTTTGTTGTTGTCCTTGAGGTACGAGATGGACTGCGTGTAGATCGACGAAGTGGTGCCCATGACGAAGCCGGCATTGTCAAAGCCCGTGACGCAGCTGCCCTGGTCCACCACGTCGCCGTCCTTGAAGGCGGTGCCGACGTAGCGGAGCGGCACCCATCCGGCGAGGTTTGGGTCGGAGGAGCCGAGCTCCCAGGGCGTGAACTCGTAGACGGTGGAGTTCCCGGACGTGATGACTTTCTTTTCGGAGTTGCGACCGTTGGCGAGCAGGAAAGGCATCGGGGCCTTGCCGGATGAAAAGTCGGAATCGTTGGCGATGGAGCTCCAAGTATATCCCGGCCCTCCATTGCTGGCGTTGACCATTTGATACGCCAGCATGCGGCCCCAGTAATCGCTTGCTGAGACGTTGAAGTTGGCTTTGGATTTGCTCTCTACTTCGTTAAAGACGTCGGTATAATACCCACGTACGCTATACTGGTCGGGTCCTTTGAGGGCCGAGTTAGCGTCGAGTGGACAGCGATGCGTAGTTTACGGCGCAGCTTGGCCCATACCTTTGAAGATGCTGTTTTCCAGCTGCCAGATGAGAGGCGCATCAACGGCGCTCTGCACCGAGGTGAAATTATTTACATATAAGCTGCCGACGAGCCAGTCGCCGCCCGAGAGCCCGGATATATACGTCGCGCTCTGTAGCAAGCCGCCGAGATTGCCCTTTTCCTCGCTGCCAGCGGACCGGGCATCCCAGGCGGCGATTGCGCCGGCACCGCCAACCATGGCACGGTAGCCACCCCCGGAGATGGCAATACCAATGTTGGGAAGCTTTGTGGAGTTGTACGTGGCATTGCCAAAGTACTGCTCGCTGTCGAAGCCGGTAATTGCCAGGCGCTTGAGGAGCCGGCGTATGTGGACTATGGTCTCCTTGCGACGCCCAGGGAGCCATGCCTTTTCGTCCGGGCCCATGGTGCTCCCGGAGCGAATCTTGGGAGCAGGATCGGGACATGCTGACGGTGAGGGGACGTATCCCGAGGGGGCGGCGTTTATGGCGCGGTCGACGATGGCTTTGACTGTGGGTGTCTCGACTTGGGAGGCGGCGACGGGAAGATCACGCGGCTCTGGGCGATCAACTCGTGCTGCATCGCCACGTTAGCTTCTTTTCAGGTTGTTTGGATTGACTAGTGCCGGAGTTCACATGTCGTGGGGGAGTCGAGAGTGTCGAGCGTACCAATATGAAGCGAGTCGGCGCGTGCTAGGGGCACGAACGCCGAGGCAGCGGCCAGCAGAAGCGCCGGGTGCTTCATAGCGATAGTATATAGGCAGCGTTATCGCGAAAGGTGCGACATTCAGATGGTCAGGTACCCACGGGCTTTTCCAGCTGCGCCCATGGGAGTGTGTAGAAGTGATGAAGCCAGTCGTGATGAGACGTCGAGGAAGAGTGGTGGAGTCGTCGCAGTGTTTTAGGGGTCGCGGGGGAGCCTCAGCGAGGAGACGCGCGCAGAGGTAGAAGTAGTATGTCTGCGGTAGGGTGTGCTTTCGGGCGAATTGCGCCAAAGATGGCGATGACAGATGGCAGAAGTGGTATGGAGAGAGTGCGGTTTGGATATAGTGGTCAATTGTAGTTTTGGATTGTAAAGAAGCCTCTTGTCGCACTGCCAAGACTTTGGGTCATTTGCTCAGTGGCTGGCTCTAGCGGGGGAGGCTTGGCGTGTTTTAGGTGGGCAGATGCATGTTACAGGGGGTTTGTGCCCGAGGGGGCCGGGTTGAAGGCGAGGACCGAGTAGATTGAACGTGCTGTCGAATGAGTTCGCTGGGGTGTCTTCTAAACAAATATTGAAAGAGGAATAAGCTGTATTTTACAGACGTATACCGATACGCTATCTAAAACAGCCGCCTCGGTGTACCTACCATGTACCATGCTCTTACGGCCAAGCAGCCACCCATCCATAGTGCGGCCACACACCAGCCACACGTACAGCAACAGTGACCTCTGAACTTGCCAGCCAGCTACAGCTAGGTAACAAGTTGTAACATTTCCAGTTCATCCCACCATCCTGCTCAATGCAGCCCAAGCTCGAATCATCAGTGCCACACCCGATGCGCCGTGATATCAAACACTGTGTCTATACAGCTCCGCAGTCGCATCACCGCAGAGCTTGGCCTTGCTCGCCCTCATGCTGTGACCAGGCATTACGCGGCACTTTGTGTCACTGGCGCTCCCTCTGGCACATGACCGCTTCGTACTACTTGCCAAGACTCCCACGTTCCTCTTCTCATTACGAGCTGTTTGACGGAGTCTAGCCTGCTCTCTCCTCGCCTTGGCTACAGGGGCTTTGACACATACGCTCTGTTCATAGTAATTAAACAGGGTGAGAAAAGAGAAAAAAGGCGAATACGAATAACAGCACTCTCACTCGCCTGTAGGCTGTGGTGCACACCATAATTCTGTCATGTCTATCTCGATTGATTGCATAGTAAGATAGATCTAGATTGCCCATTCTACAAGACATGACGAGAGCCTATATGGGCGCAATTTTTGCGCAATATTGTCCCAAATTCCCGGGACAGCATATTCAGCCAGGAAGGGCTTTACTCTTAGCAACAAAGTATGCCCTGTTTTTTTTTTGCAATATCAATTGCAAATATTGTCCACTTCTACCAAGTCTGAATAGGGTGCGGACCTCCGTCAATTGCAGGTTGTGGTTGCCAAACTTGTCAACGACGACTGAAGAATTAGCGCTTCTATGCAACATGGAGAACCCCTAGTAGCACGCTCTCAAGCTAAGCGTTGTCTAAAGTATTACAGCGAATCAAGGTCGGGTGAAAGTCTTCAAAATGGGCGCAAGGCGAAGCTATAAAGTCAATCACCTGGAGCCTCTATATGAGGTGCCTCTAAATACTCCGTGTTGCTGTTCGTCTCAGCCAGTCTCTACGTTTTGGATAACTTCCACGTAACCAGTTCCCGCCGTCATGTCACGGGCCCTCCCAAAGCCAGTTCTCGGTATTTCTTGCAATGAAGAGTCCTCTGGACGGCTACTTGGCGAGGCTTCCAACTTGGTAGCCGCTATCAAACGCCACGGCGATGTGTTTCTCTGTTTCGTGACTAGATCAACCACTCTGGTTCCGCAACAACTAGGTCTTTAGTATACCCTTTGGTAACCCGGTAGTCATCCTCGCCGATGCCCATGAGACGCGAGACATTCTTGTGAACAAGAGTGCCGACTTGACCGTACCGTCTTTGTAAGCAACCTCCTTCTCCCAATCATCTGCCAAGGCCAGCGGCCCGGCCCGGTGCGATTCCCAATGCTGGCCCGAGCAACAGCTTTGGCATGGGGCTTCGTTCGTGCTTTGGCAAGGGGCTGGCATACATGAGAATTTGCCTGCTGCTTGTTAGTGCGATTTGGAACTTTGAGCTGATGGGATGCCCGGACGAGCTTTCAAGCAATTTTGGGAAGTTTGATGTCGTGTGCAAGCCGCAGCAGACATATGTGCGAGGCGGAGTTGTAGGGGCGTAGATGCTATCCTAGAGCTGCTTTTTTTTTTTTCAAAATATTGTGGCGGGCAATATGTTGACTTGTTGTCATTGAAGGTCGATTCATGTTTTTCTTGCCACTCTATGCGCATGCTCCTGTTCTGACAACCTGCATGCTGATGATGCTGCTGCCATGTTCAAATTAGGTCGGCAGGATAACCCCCAGGGCCGGGCAAACTTCGGTTAAACCGCCGATAAATCAGGCTAGGCTATAGTTAGTACAGTACTAAGGTAGGTAGCCATTGATTCAGCTGCTTTCTTGGCGCATCCGCACCGCAAGCTTCAGCCACCGTTGGAGCTACCGAGCAATCCGAGCTTCACGAGCATCCATCACCTGATTGCCTTGGTAGGCACGACTAATGCCTGCCTGACCACTCCAAGCTCAGTCCCAACAACGCCCTCTCCGCAAATTGTTTCTCCTGGAGCGAGGCAGCTTGCATGTTTTCCTGACAACTTCTCGCTTCCGTGCTCAAAATTTCAACCCTCTCGCATCCCACTCCCCGCCGCACTGTCAGCAACCTTGCATCCCCCTCTCAGCTCCAAAACAAGTCCTCCTCCTGTGCTCTTCCGCCGCGACCATGAGCCAGGAAGACATTCCCGGCCCAGGCGCAGCTCCGGGGCTCGCCGACGGCCTCGACGGCTCGACACGAAAGCCGGCGTCCCGGACCGCCGCCCAGCATCCCTCCGGCAAGGTCGGTCACGGCGCCGTCGTCAAGTTTGTGCGCGGTCTTGCCTTTGCGGTGTATTTTTGGTCCTGCACCTTGGTGTACGTTGAACATATCTCTCTTCGAGGCTTCCGGGATTTTCGGTAAAAAATAAGCTCGTGCGCAGCTAGCTAACGTGTCCCGTCGCAGCATTGGCGTCACGCAGCTCATCGGCGCACCCCTGTATTTCGTCAACAGGGACATGTTTTACGCCTGGATGGCCATGACGAAGCAGCAATTCGCCCTCGTCATCACTGTTATGACCAGGATCTGGGGGCGGACCATCATTCGCGTCAGCGGCGACGAGTCTGTGGCTGGGCAGATCAAGACGATGTCAGACGGCACTGTTCAATTTGACTTTCCTGAGCGCATGGTTCTGATCGCCAATCATCAGGTGAGATAGACTTCTCTATAGACGAAGCTGTTCTGTCCCAGACACTAACTTCTTGCAGATTTATACAGATTGGCTATACCTGTGGTGGGTTGGCTACGCCAATCGCGTTGCCATGCATGGCCATATCTACATCATTCTCAAAGACTCTCTTCGCTGGATCCCGATCATGGGCACTGGCATGATGTTTTTTGGATTTATTTTCATGTCGCGCAAGATGGCAACGGACCGCCCGCGCATCGCCCACCGTCTACAGAAGCTTCGTGAGCTCAAGACTGACCCCAACGGGAAGAGCTATTACGATCCCATGTGGCTTCTTTTGTTCCCAGAGGGAACCAACTTATCCTCCAACGGTAGGCGTAAATCGTCCTCTTGGGCGGCCAAAAACGACCTCAAGGATCCTGAACACGTCATGCTACCCCGAAGCACCGGCACATTCTTCTGTCTCAATGAGCTGAAGGGTTCGGTCGAATATGTTTATGATTGCACTGTTGCCTATGAAGGTATCAAGTACGTCCACATCCTCATTCATCATAGCCAGTACCTCGCGAGCATGTCACTAATCTGCCTCTGCAACATAGACGTGGTGAATATGGAGAAGAGTTCTTTACCCTCAGTGGCACCTACTTTGCCGGTCGCCCTCCCAAGTCTGTCAACTTCCACTGGAGGAGATTCCGCCTTGCTGATATCCCGCTCGATGATCCAAAGGAGTTTGAGGAGTGGCTTCGCAACGAATGGTACAAGAAGGATGAACTCATTGAGGTGTATCTGAAAGAAGGCCGCTTCCCTCCTTTGCCTGGCTCATCGACTCCGTATGTCGAGACAGAGGTCAAGACCAAATCGCCCTTCGAGATTCTGCAGATTTTTGCCGTTTTGGGCATCGTTGCTCTCATGTGGAATAACGTCCAGAAGTTGTATACGGCTGCCACCAAAATGCTTCGGTGAGCGCCGGCACTGGACAATTTTCACCTTGCCCGCTCTTTGACTTGCTTCTGGTTTTTCCTCTTTGAACAGATTATTTGCCTCCCTTTCTGGGTACAAATGCGCGACCTGAAATCGGATGAGGGGCTCCGGTGATTCATCATTTTTGTGCACCGTCGTCATGTGGGCTGCAGCTTTTATTGTGGATGGTCTCTGATGATTCACAAAGCATCGCGTCGTCAAATGACATGGAAGGCACTATCTCTGATTGCAGTTCGTCTTGCTGCCACGAGCCGCACCCGAGAAGCGTTTCGTGCGGAGCTGGAAGTTGAAGCCGGTACTCTGACGGACAGTGGTCATCCATAACGTCTATGATCTTGAGAGTCATGCCTGGCGAATCACTTTTAGACATGTCTCTGGTTGACAATATCTGTGGTGAAGTGCTCCAGTCGGACTCGGAGGATGAGATGTTGATCGGCTTCTCCTTGTGGCCATGTGTGCGAAGCTTTGACTGAGCCTTGAATAGTTGATGGCGGTTTCCACTGGGATAGTGCTTCTTTGGTCGACTCAGCCGCATACCGCCACGTGAATAGGAAAAGACGGTGGGGGACTGCGAGTCTGTGCCGTTGACAGTGGCGCATGGTGATGTGAGACTGGGTGGCATGCTCTCCGCCATGGCAAGTGAACGAGTTCGCTTTGTCATGGTGGGAGGGAAGCTATGAAGATGGGAGAGGATATCTGGGTTGGTGCGATGGATGACCATATACCACCACAACAAGGGGGACAGGAACAAGACAAGACAGATGGCAGGGCAGGGAGGGTGTTGGCAAAGGGCCGAGAGAGAGAGGTAGATGTGCACTTTTGTGGGGTCTTGGGTAGGTTGGGGCAGTCCTTGGGATGCTTGGGAAATATATGGAAAGAGATCAGGTATATGGACAAGACGATAGAGAAATGGCAGAAGAAGAGGAAATGGAAGAAGAGGAGGGTGGGAGGGTATTTATGTGCGGGCGAAAGACTTGGTCAGCCTGCTGCTAGCCAATCAGAGGCCAGACCAGCCAACGCATGGCACGCCTCGCAGCTCGTCATCCCCTCCGGTTTTGCCAAACGACACTGATTTTGTTCTTTTTAGCGATATATCCACGAATTCAGCCATGTTCATGTTATACCAGCGTTATTGATGTTCTGGGATACCCGGGTTGAGTCATGATGGCATCCTCTTGCGGCTCACTTACACCAGGTGCTCCATGCGCGGCGTTTGAAGTTCGACGATGTTTTAAATGTCATATTTCGAACCCCCAATTTTTCGCGCCAACTTTTGTCAAATCTCCGAGACTCAAACTTGTAAGTTGGCATGGTTGCGTGGCTGTCAAGTTTGTTCATTCGTAATGGCGACTGTCGATACCAGAGTCTTGAAAGTGGCCACGGGCGGATTCTGCGAACTCCAGTTGTATGCTCGCAAATAAGGTACTTTTGAAAGTGTTTCGGCGGTACCACTCTTAGCACATGTAGCAGGCGTGATTACAGTATATGTAATGAGCAGTATGGGCGAAATTGACCGTCTGCCCTGTTAGTGTGTCTGGATGGGCTCTGGCAAGTCTGAGGCCCATGACGAGGGTACGCGCCCAGATTGACGGCCAACGCAGCACCGCATTCAGAAAATGTAATTTTAAGGCGTTCAGATTCTTTTTATGCATATCTAATTATAATTCCGAAATTTTCAGTCTCTGTTTATTGTAATTGTGCCCGACAACGCTGTCATGGTGTCCCGTGTAGCAACACCTGTAGTTGGATGACGGGGAGATGGTGGCTTAGGCGGGCGGATCTCATAATTGCAGGCGGCAAAGCCACACCCGCTTCATCTCACTAGCCACACAGATAATGCACATCAGATAACTTGCTGTTGTACCAGTATTCACCCACATCAATGCATCGAATTGATCACTGTCCTTGACCAATCTTCGACCATACTACTGCTCTTCTACATTTCCCTGCGACATGCCTGCACGTAAGCGCGGCAGCGCCGTTGCCAATGGCACCGACAACGCTGAGCCCGTCGCGAAGCGGCGCTCATCGCGACAGGCCGCGGCAGCAACCGCGTCAAAAGGCGCAGCAGAGGCGGATCCCGCCGTGAATCTGGACACGACACGGTCTGCAGACCCAGCGCCGACCAACCCTCCAAAAAAGGCCGCAGCCAAGGTGTCGTTGTCCTCGCAAGCAAAAGCTGGCGGAAAGGAGTCGGCGACCACTGAGGACGCCAAGCTGAAGCCGCCCAAGGTCTCCAAGCAGGCTGCCTCTTCTGCTGCCGCGAAACCTGACAAGAAGGGGAGCAAAAAGACAAAGGCCGCCAAGCATAATGAGGAAAAGGGCGCCGGCCGAGCAGGCTCGGAGGATCCCGACGTGGACTCGATACCGGCCGTGAACCCAGACGCGCCGAAGCACGAGGGCGAGTGGTACTGGTTGCTGAAGGCAGAGCCGGAGACACGCATGGAAAATGGCCATGATGTGAGGTTCTCGATAGATGACCTGAGGGCCAAGACGAAGCCCGAGGGATGGGATGGTAGGTCATCTATAAGATCTAGGGGATAGAGCTGCCGCTAACATGTCATTTGTATAGGCATCCGCGCATATCCTGGTATGAAAGATGATTCGTCTTGTTCGTCTTAATCTAGAACCCGGAATTCTAACATGTATGCAGCGCGAAACAACATGAGAAACATGAACGTCGGCGACAAGGCCTTCTTTTACCACTCCAATTGCAAGGAGCCTGGCATTGTCGGCATCATGGAGATTGTCAAGGAATTCTCCGAGGACAGTAAGTACTATGCGCGACTTGTTCTCACCCTTGGCCATGTTCCCTAACACGGGGATGCAGAGAGCGCCAGACGCCCCGGCACGCCGTACTACGACCCCTCCTCGACCAAGGACAAGCCCAAGTGGGATCTGGTGCATGTCGAGTTTCGCAAAAAGTTTGCCGTGCCCATCTACCTCAAGGAGCTGCGCACCATGGGCGCGGCCGGCGGTCCGCTGCAGGAGATGCAGATGCTCAAGCTCGGACGGCTCAGCGTGAGCAAGGTGAGCGCGGGGGAGTGGAAGACGCTGTGCGAGCTCGCCGACAAAAAGGCCAAGGAGGCGGGTTTGGAGCATGAGGAATAATGATGGAGCGTTGGTGGTTTTGTGTGCATGTATTGCCTTGGAACCATCTCGTTGTTGAAGACGAAGCGACCAATTCGGGGGAACCCTGTCCTGCAACCTTGTACGAATTTGTTTGTTGGATTACCGCGTATGAAATGATTGAATATCTGTATATAATTTAACATGTTCTCCATGAATTCAGAGTATCATTTTTCCTGATTTATCCTACTATCCTGGTCAAATCTTCCAATGATTCTTGTTCTTTTCCGAGTCTTGTTTAGGTTACTAGAGCTTCGAGAGACAAAGGCCGGGATAGCACCTCTTCTCGCCTAAAATTCTGAATAAGTAGGATGGGAATTTTTTTAGGGAAAATATTACATACAAGTAACCCTAGTCCAGGCTGGTGAATGCCACGGTGCTCCGGGGTGCTCTTCTGGCAGCACCGCCGTACAGTGGGGATATACTGTGCGGAGGAGCGCGCAGCACCGTTTTAGCGCTGGTTCGCAGCGCTCAGCCCCCTGGTTTGCTGTCAGGGCGGCGCCATGACGATGATTTCCCAAGCGAAGTTCTGTCCTCTGTTCATCATCCCACCCGGTCATTAAAGCCGCTCTTTTTTGGCACCTTTCTCTTTCCTTTTTTCCATTCTTTCGTTCTTGATTGTTGCTACTTGCTACGCGAACACGGCCGGCCTTTTTGATTCCATTCATATACGTCTTTATTCCAGACTTGTATCTAGTCCAAGTCTTAATCTCAGCTCTGCGTCTTCTCACTCCAGATCCACCACAACGCCCTCTCTCAGTTTCATATATCAGTCTTCTTGGCTTTAACGACTCACGCCATATTCATCCATTCGCTCTTTCAGATGAGCCATATCGGAACAAGAAACCATCTATAAAACAAGCACAACCTCGGACGCTCTGATTCCCATCTCACTCACTCGCTGAGCTCGACTACCCATCTTTTTTGCAGAGCCTCGCTTCCGTCAACTCCATCGCTATGCGGCTAAGCTGGGCGCTTGGCCTCGGCCGCGTCGAATCCGTCGACTACTATGCCGGCGTCCTTGTGCCTCTGGAGGAGGCTCATCTGCACAGCCACTCGGCCCGCACGGGCCGCGTGGAATTCGAGGCTCGCGACTTTGCGCTCGACGACGACGACGACGACGACGACGTTGACGCAACCGGCGCCGGCAAGCATCGCGGCGACGAGGAGCGCGAGGGCATGCTCGAGATGGACGCCGCCGAGTACAGCATCGACGGCCTGCGCAAGGCGATGCGCGACGGTCGCCGCGGCCAGTGGAGCGCATACGAGATCAAGTCCAAGCTCATCAACAAGGCCATCCAGGACATTGGCATGGGCTCGTACAACTGGCAGCTCTTTGTCCTCTGCGGCTTCGGCTGGTTCGCGGACAATCTCTGGCTGCAGGGCGTCTCGCTCACGCTGCCCTCCCTGTCGGCCGAGTTTGGCATCGACGAAAAGACGGTGCGCTACACGACCAGCGCCTGCTTCGTCGGTCTCTCCGTGGGCAGCTTCCTCTGGGGCATCGGATCCGACTTCTTCGGCCGCCGCATTGCCTTTAACCTGACGTTGCTCATCACCAGCGTCTTTGGCGTCATGGCTGCCTATGCGCAGACCTGGGGCGGCGTCTGCTTCTTCTTCGCCGCCTTTGGCTTTGGTGTCGGCGGGAATCTGCCCGTCGACGGCGCGCTGTTCCTCGAGTTCCTCCCTGACGCGTCGAGCTCTCTGCTCACACTCTTGTCTGTCTGGTGGCCCATTGGCCAGCTGGTCTCGTCTCTCGCAGCTTGGTACTTTATTGCCCATTGGCCTGTTGAGCAGGGGTGGCGCTACTTCATCGTCACCATTGGCATCGCCACGTTTGCCATGTTTATTGTCCGCTTCTTCATTTTCCACCTACTCGAGTCTCCAAAGTTTCTCCTAAACAAGGGTCGCCAGAACGAAGCTGTGGCAGTCATTCACGCCTTGGCGTACAGGAACGGCTGCAAGACCTGGCTCACATCGGCCATTCTCGACGAGGTCGCTGCCGAGGACTACCAGCGCGCCGGCTCCTCTTCTACTCAACAGCAATTTAAAACTACCCCCACCACGAACGCTCTCGTGGCCAAGTTGAAGGGGTTCTCGGCCGACCGAATCCGGCCTCTATTCCAGACCAAGACACTTGGTCTCGCCACTGCGTTGATTTGGTTCTGCTGGGCCAGTATTGGCATGGGCTACCCCCTCTTCAACGCATTCTTACCCCAATACTTTGCTCGTACCAACGGCGCCCAAGACGGCGGCGTACCGTCCGAGACATCCCCCATCTCCGACGTAACCTACCGCAACTATGCCATCACGTCCATCATGGGCGTGCCCGGCAGTATCCTTGCCGCCTATCTCGTCGACCACCCTTCGCCGTTCCTCGGCCGCCGCGGGACTCTGGCAAGTTCCACCTTGCTCTCTGCCATTTTCCTCTTCTTCTTTGTCCTGTTTGGCACCACCCCCACCTCGCAGCTCTTCTTCTCCTGCGTGGAAGCCTTTAGCCAGAACATCATGTACGGCGTCTTGTATGCCTTTACGCCCGAAATCTTTCCCGCGCCGGTGCGAGGAGCGGGCAGCGGCATGGCTAGTTTCTTGAACCGCGTGACGGGTCTCATGGCACCCTTGCTGGCCGCCAACATGCCTGGCGATAGCGCCAGCGCTCCCATCTACTTATCCGCAGTGCTTATTCTCGCGGCGTTTGTGGCCATGTGCCTGATTCCCATTGAGACGCGAGGGGCACAGCGTCTATGAGCAACTCTTTCACAACACAGTCCAGGCGATAGATAGAAAGCTTGTACATTATGGGCCCATAATCCGAGATGTAGACCTTCTTGTGGTGTTGCCATGAGAAAATGTATGATAGAGGCAAATACCCACGGAGTAAATGGCTCCAGTTCATTTTTGTTACTTGGCTGGGCGTCATTATAGTTTTACAAAGCACATTGGATAGAATACATTATACATCATAACACTATGCAACCTCTCGTCGGGCCTGCTCCTCAATTTTGTTACATTCTCATCTAGCTGTACATTTACAACATGTCTCATCTATTCCCCTTGGCGCCCGCGGGCGCATCCGAGCGTCTCTTTTTAAACGAATTCCCCAGCGCATCCTTGACCATGGGATCCGAGCGAATGGTATTGTTGATGAGCCACTCGCGCATCTTTGTGCGCATCTTGGCGGCCATGTCGGCGTCGCCCTTGAACGGGGTAAGCTCCATGTCGATGAGGCGGGCGGCGTCGGCGTCCATCTGGCGCGTGAGGCCCTCGAGGCGCAGCAGGCTGTCGTCGAGGGCCTTTTGCTCGTTGTCGACGGCCTTATCGGCGTGCGGGTCGATCTGGGCGAGCACGAGGGGTCCCATCTGCGAGAGCGCAATGTACACGGTGAGGGTGACCTTGCGGGCAAGATGGACGAGCTCAAACGGCAGGTACGGCGGCAGGCCGGCGACGCGCGTGAGCACGGTGTTGAGGGCGAGGAGCGGCGCCGGGAACGTGGGCCGCGTCGCGACCGTCAGCTCGAGCAGGCAGAGCGCGACGAGCAGCAGCCAGCGCCAAAACGTGGCAAAGTCCATGTAGCCGAGCAGCCCAAAGACGTAGACGGTGGCGGCGGCAATGCCGTAGTACGGCAGCAGGTTATACACGACGCCGTGCGTGACAAAGTCGCGGACCGTGGTGCATGTGGTCCACGCGAGCATGGACGGGCCGAAGCGCTCGTACGCGTACCGCTTGGCCGCGTCCTGCAGCGTGTCGCTCGCCGTCTTGAGGTGGATGAAGAAGGCCGCCGAGCCGTCGGCGGTGCCGCCGCCACCGGCAGCAGCACCCATCTTGTCAGGGTGGTGCAGCGCGGCGAGCCGCCGGAAGCGCGACTTGATGTCGCGGTCCACCGCCGTCACGGGGATGCCGAGCTCCGTGTAGAACGAGGGCGCGCTGCGCAGGTCGTAGTGAGCCTCGTAGATGGTGTAGAGCAGGTACGTGGCCACGACGAGGATGTGAATCGTGTTGCGGTGGGACGTGTATCGCGGCGAGCCCGACGCGGGCTTGGGGTCGCCGGCGCGAACTGTCAGGCCATAGTAGATGGACTGTATAATGGACGTCGCGATCTGTTTTTATTTGGTTTCAAAAGATGCAAAGTTAGCAGCTGGTTCAGCAAAACAGAGATGATGGGGGAAATGCGCGGGGCGCTGGCATCGCGCGGGTAGGAAGCGCCCAGCACGTGTGGCTGCATGTCATTGCACGTACACCAGGAAGGAAGGCCCAGCCTATGAGGGATAGGAACTGGGACATTTTTGAAGAGATTTTGGCAACTCCCCAGGGGTTTGGATTATCCAAATATGAGCTGCATGCGCCGCAGAAATCGTGGTTGATGCGAGGTAGAAAGAGTCTGGTTCCATGAACGGTGAAAGGACAAGTGTTCCAGCAGGTTGGCGTGTATCCGTTCAGGGCCCGCCCTTGGCTACCTCGTACCTTAGACAACACCACAACGGCGCTACGAGCACCAATCAATTTTCTGCCCTTTGTCAGGCCCAAAATGCAGAGCATTATTTGCCGTGTATAACAATAACAAGTTTCATTGAGAAAGAATTCTATGAGGAATCAGAAAAGAAGAAAAGTATAAAGTACATCGATGAAGCAGCAGGAGACAAAATTTGCGTTAGCCGTTTTGTTCAGCATCAGGCGCAATGAAAGTGATCGTCACTTCCAATAGTCCCCATCAAGCCAAGCTGGCTTCAATCTTCAAACTCCATCCCTTTCGAATAAGAAAACGCGTAGAATCGTCGTTGCAGTAAGAAAATGCCCAAATTCACCTCGTGCTCGAGAGTCTGCTCCCAAGGATGCCACAGGGTGAGCTGCATCAAATGGTTGTCCAAATGTTGTCTGTATAACGCCGTCGGCCCACGAAACGCTGCCGATCATGATGTCCTAACAAATCCCATCAATTTATTAAATATCTGCGTCCCCTTTTGTCACGTTAGATGTGCCGTTTCCGCGCCTTCTGTTGGCTTAGCCAAAGCTGGCCTTCCACTTCTCCCAGAAATGGCCCGATTCGACTTCGCAGCTCTCGCGGCCAGTATTGGAGCAGCCTGCAAACATGGCGACAAAGTCACCCTCCTGGTATTGCTCGCCAAGCGTCGGCTTCGAGTAAGAAGCAAACGTGCGCTGAGGAACGAGGGCCAGTTTCGACAGAATGGTTGGGTGCCACTGCACAATGTGTTCCTGTATCAACGCTTTAGCAAGTGTGGTCATGATTTACGCCACATTTTCCTTACCAGTGCATGTCTCTCGGCTTTCTGGAAGTTGTAACTCCGGTAGAGAGGGTCAAGCCAGGTCTCGAGGAAGAACTTTGCCCATTCTCCATTACGAAGAATAATGTTGTTATGCACTATACCAGACTTGTCTTGCGACAGAATGACGTCAATATGATCTCCGCGTAGGTGACCAAATGTCTTGATGATGCTGTCTGGCGGTACAACGGGTTGCCCACGGATCATCAGGGACTCCAGCTGCTTCGATTGCAGCACAAGATCCTCGAGCGATCGCGACGGGTTCATAATGTAGGCATCTTGGTCGAGGTACCAAACGAATTTGCAGTCCGGGAATTTGGCGAGCGCATGGCGGGTGGCCATCAATTTCGTCCAAGTCGTGGGAGCTCCGGCAGTGTCGTACTGGTCGGCTTCGGTGATGATCGTCTTGTACCCTTTGTTCTGGTATGAGCTTCTAGCATATTGGGTCGATTCTTGCTACTGAGTACGTACCATGTCTCGAAGCATATTCTTCTCTATTCTCGCGGATCGTCTTGAGATAGCTGGCGCTGTACTGCTTCGTGTCGAGAACAGTCACCAAAACGACGGTCGGCGTCCCAGCAGGCTGACGTTCATGGTACGGGCTCTGTTTGCTGGGTTTGAAAACCAGATAGAGCACCAGTATGCAGGCCAACAGTCCGAGGGCAATTGTTCTTAACCGCCCACGGCGAAGGACAGGCAGCTGGCCAGATCTAGGGCGGAATGGTGGGGGATTCGAGCTTTTGCGCGGGGGGTACGCAAAATGCATTGTGACGTCGGTGAGGCGCCCACGTTGGGAACAGTATCGCTTTCGAAGACGGCTTCCAAGAGCTATGAGTTGAGGAGAGCGAGCGTCGCGGTCCCGTGCGGCGCAGTGTTGTTGGTTTGGAGACCGGTTTGGAGAGGTTCTTGAAGGTCCCCTGGTAACGAGTGACAGCTGTAGAAGCACCGCGGTTCAAAATCTGTTCAGAAAACTCCGTCGTCGGATGACGCTCACGTTCCAGATGCGTCGTCTCGCCTTGTCAAAGGAAGATCTTGCGGTTTTTTACCCGCCTGCGCGTCGATGGCGCGATTTGTCCGGGCAGGCGAGGGAATCTGTCGGCAGGGGTCCAAAGAGAGATTCAACGGCGAAAAATGGCAGTCGCAAGCGGCAGGTAACGTGCCTTACGTGGAATACCCCTGGAGTGGGTAGAAAATAGCCCGTGAGCTCGACGAGCAGAAGAATTAATTCCCTGCTTGACACTGTCTGTCTCTTGGGAAAGGTCTTTCAACCCCCTGGACGCTGCCCTCGATTACCAGTAGAGCCACGTTCCGCTCGGCGCCGGATCCACAATGCGCCGAGCCGTCTTTTGCACTCCTTTTTCAGTGAGTCTAATCTCACTACGCGCTGCGAGCCTTAAAATAAGTAAGCGACTTCGGTCGCCTTATCGAGTTTCTTAAATCAGAGAAATTTCAATCTTATTGAATAGGTCAAAGCTATACAGTTTTTCTGGTAGACTAGCAGCGGCTCATGGCCCTACAAGTGCTCGTTGGCCGTCTACCTAGTCGCTTCCAAGCAACGGCTTACAATTTATTAGTAGCACAACTCAGTCGCAAAAGCGAAGCATATACCAGCTTGTGTCAAGCAATCACCCACGGTTTTGTACTGGTGTGTACCTGGTAGATCGCTGAGGCGCAGAATACAGAATGCATCCTTTACCTAAGCTACGGGCTGGTCAACTCCATCTCGCCGTGAAGAACGCAGAAGCCAAAACGGTTTCCGGTCCAAGCATCGATGGAGCATCAATCTTTGCACACAGACTAGTCGGCTCGATGCGGAAAAGCAAACTTCGAGACAACTTAAGAGTGTGCAGGCACCGCAGACGAGCCACAGTAAAGGGGGACGCGTGTCACGTTGGGATGAATAATGCAAACAGAGTAGAAGGTCTTGCCATTCTATCTATGAGTGAGGTTGGTGGTACACCGGGTTGGGCTGATGAATACATCCATCTCCCGTAAATCTGGTTCCAAGCAACGATTCCACGTAGCTCACCTTAGTCTTCGTCCACATCAATGACTCTGTCTCGCATGTCCAATAGCACGCGGGCGCTCAGGGACCGAACCAGTTTCCAGATGCCTTTCAAAGCAGCAAATGCGCCCAGGAGTACAAACAAAAGACTGAGGTTTTCAACACGACCGCGGCCCGTGCCACGGCGTCGACCACCGCCGCCAACGCCGGTCCCTCGTAGCTGCCACCAATGCCACGGTGACATGAACAGCATCGATTTGACCAGGCCGACAATTCCTAGAGAGAAGAAGCCCTTGACGAAGTGTTCAATCCACGTTGGTGGATCTTCGAAAGGCACATCCCAGTGGTCTTCGTCTGCGGTTAATGCGTCGCCGATGGTGCCAAAGGGGTCGAGCCATAAGTTGAATGCTGGATCGGCGATGAAGCCGAGGATAAAAATGCCAAATGCAAACAGTAGTAGGGTGAGGAGGGCTTGTGTAAGCTTGCTGCTGAGAAGCGACGCCCAATCTAGTCTTGTGAGCTTGTATTTGTAGCCACATGTCGGACAGTGCCAGAAATTCCGTTCTTGCAACGGATTGGAAGCTCGCCAGGCGTGCAAGCAGCCTTGGTGGACGTATTTCTGCGTTCCTTTGCACTTGCAGGGCGACAACAATCGGCCCAGGGCCGGGTCTTCAGAAACATACGTCGGTCGCCCAGTTTGTGACGCGTCGGCATACTGCGGCTCGACAGTATCGAGGCAGATTCGACAAGTGCGAGGGCCGTAGTGACTACTGTTCTCAGCTCGCGGTTGCGAAGAAGTGGTGGTCCGTTGTCGCGTTTCACCATCTTGTGTAGCGTTATTCCTCGTCGCGGAGCTCCAGCTCCAGGATTGCGGCTCCATGATGGGCAAATTTACCCTTGGATGGGATGTGCGTCGATGGTTGCAAAGATGTGCCAGTGAGCAAGATCCTGCCAAGCGGCCACTGCAGCGGGGATGCTTCCCATAATATGCTGTCAAGAAGGTATAAGGGGGGGCACTGCGGCCATCGTCCTCGAAGACACTATGGCATCACAAGAAGGCGGGAAAAGCGGACGGGTGCGAGTGGCCAGAAAAAGCCACCTCAGCAATTCTCTGGTTTGAAGAGTAGGATTCTGTGGCGGAGCGAGTAAAAATGTCCGCAGGTACGGCGGAGTGCGAGCTCCATTGGCAGGTGGGTCGGATCTCGGCAGAACCTATCTTCCGGTGTTCCTCCGGCGAGCTTGACGCGCAGGTCACCGTGCCTGGAGGTGTTGTGTACTGCAGACGGAGCTCCCCAGCCTGCCACCAGCCCTTCAAACAGCATCAATCCGTCGAGAAACATCACGACTTGCGCGCCTGTCACGATTTGCACGATATTGAAAATCTGCCGAAGCTATGGCGGACAGATACTCTTTCTCCCTCACTACATTCTCGCCCAGGTAAGCCAAACCAACCAAGCCTTCATTGGGCGCAACTAACATCTGAATAGCGGCAAGCTGGTGCAAATCGGTACGTGCGAATAGTCAATGGCCTCTCCAAGGTCTTGAGGACGTGAATAGCGAATAATTTGCTGGGTCTTGTGCATGCTGCTAACGATGCGCATAGAGTATGCTTTGAACGCAGTCAACCAAGGCATCACTGCCCTGGGTATCAAAGGTGCGAAATTTGAGCTCAACTTGGCGCACAAGGCATGCTAACTCGTACTCAGCTACCAACGGCATCGTCCTCGCTACCGAGAAGAAGTCGTCCTCACCCCTAGCCGATCAGAGCTCGCTCTCCAAGATTAGCAACATTACGCCCAACATTGGCACTGTATACTCGGGCATGGGCCCTGACTACAGAGTGCTAGTCGACCGCGCACGCAAGGTTTCACACACTGGGTACAAGAGGATCTACAACGAGTATCCTCCCACCCGTATATTGGTTCAAGACGTTGCCCGCGTCATGCAGGAAGCCACCCAGTCTGCGGGCGTTCGGCCGTATGGTGTCAGCATGCTCATTGCCGGTTGGGACGATGGCATTGAACCTGAGGATACTGAGGAGGCTGCTCCCCAGACCGGCGAGAAGAAGACCAACAAGAAGACGGGCGGTATTCACAAGGGCGGCCCCATGCTGTACCAGGTCGATCCCACGGGCAGTTATTTCCCGTGGAAGGCCACGGCTATTGGCAAGAGTGCGACAAAGGCCAAGACGTTCTTGGAGAAGAGATACTCGGAAGAGCTGGAGCTTGAAGATGCAATCCACATTGCTCTACTCACTCTCAAGGATAACATTGAGGGCGAAATGAATGGCGACTCTATTGAAATCGGTATGTTCTAAAAGTACACTAGTGTTGAGTCGTGCTAATTATTGCCAGGCATCGTTGGACCCCCTGCCGACCATTTGTTAGGTCTCGAAGGTGTCGAAGGGGCCACTGGTCCTCGGTTCCGCAAGCTCACGCCGCAAGAAATTGAGGATTACCTGACGAGTCTATAAGTGCAGACAAGCTGCAAGGCGGGAGACAGAAATGCTTGTACATTAGGTAGTCTGACGGCTTAATCCATATCACATTCCGAGTCATCAGAATCCGGGTCCTCATAATCGGGGTCATTATCATTCGAGTCATCACAATCCGGTTCATTATCATCCGAGTCATTATCATCCGAGTCATCACAATCCGAGTCTGTTGGGTCCTCGGATTCCACTGACCGCTGAGGTAGTTGTACTGGCAAATAGACAGGCATCCATGGCTGATGGGGTGTTTCTACTGGTAGGGGTGTTTGTAGTGATACTTTAACAATGATGAATGATGTCTGCGGGCCGGCCGCGACTCCAACGATAGAACCCTGTGGCAGGCAAATTTCGAGCCTTGTCCACCTCTTCAGCACCTGGAAGGAGGGGAGTCCTAGCTGGCCGTTTTCGTTGTTGCCTACAACGTACACTTCGCCTCGTTTTGTCAGCGCGATGGCGTGAGTTTCACCCAGCGCAAAGTCTTGAATCTCTGCGAAGTCCCCAATCTTGGCCTCGTTTGGAACTGCGCTTAGTTTCGGTATGAAAGGCCCGTGCTTGCTCCTCGACGGCGGATGTTGTCCCCATATGTATACAGCCCCCGGTTCGGTGACGGCTGCAGTCGCATAACTGCACGCGGCGATGGACAGCACCCGTGGCATCCGTCCGTACTGCGGGCTCTGGACGGGTGCGAACTTTCCGCCCGGGCTGTTGCATTCGGCTGTCAGCAAGGTTTTCGGGTGTTTGGGGGGCGGTAGCTCTATGGGATAATGGACACACCTTTCCAGGCTAACCTTGCGACCGAGGGCAGCAGGGAAGCGTGCATCTCCCATGGTTGACACGGTGCCCAGGTCGTCCAGAACAGCAAAGCCCGTATCAAATGCCACAGCTTGGCGAATTGGCCGTGGGAAGCTCCAAATGTCCTTCTCAATCCCTCCCTTGATAATTCTTTCTATCTCTGGGTAATTATCGACCAAGGTGAGACTGTCGCCATTTCCCCTCAAGACGGCCGAGGCGGCTTGCTGAGCCAGGCTCGGGTTGGGAAAATAGCCAGCGATATGAATCCTTCGGTCGATTTCGACTGAAGTAGAGACGACGAGTTAGACGACAATGGTATGTATGTCGAGTTTGTGCAATACAAACCTATCGTATAAGCGAGCCTGGAAACGGGCTTGCCGATCTTGGTCCCTTCAGCCAACTTGATGAAACAAGGAAAATCTATCGGTTCACGGACAGCAGTCCCAAATTGGAGTTGGCCCCATGCGTTGCAGCCGGTGCCATATAATTCCATATTTTGAGGACAAGCTGAGGTTGCAGGTTGGATGGTGATGGTGTTTGCTGGTGATGGTGATGTGCTGGTAATGGGAATGGTTGACGCGTGCGGATGAATCACAAGTCTGTGTCGGGCCACTGTAACTATGTGCCTACCTTAGCATTGCACCCGATGGTTATTACTCGGATACCGAAAACGCGGCCGGGCAACGGGCAACTGCTTATTGCGGCTGCCCTGACGTTGAAAAAACGAATTGATAAGAGGAGCATCTTGTTTTATTCAGGTTATAGGTACCTAGGTAGGTACCTAGTCACCAGCATCCATGCTCCCCCCTCCCCCGCGACGAGCACAGCAAAAACAGTGGCTTTTACAATTACGCTAAAGGTGACTACTGATATAAAGCATAAAACGAACGTCGCGATTTTAATATTACAAGAAACAGTCTAATTTGATAGAGCCTTCTCTGCAAATATTATCCTTTCCTTGCTTATTCGTTGCCACCTTCTTCAGGTCCAAGGGCTTCTCCAAAAGCCAGCCTCATCTCGTGCCCACAATATGTAAATTCCCGACCGTCACCCAAGCACACGCATTCACAATTCACAACAGCGTGATTCACGGCTGTATCTCATGTTACTCTCACTCCGTTCCCCGTACTCAATTTGTGTATAATTTGAAGCAGCCTACCGCCCCTGCGTTGCCGCCCCCTGTCTCGCGACATTATCTCGCAATATCGGTTCTTCTGCCCAACCTCGATCCCGAGCCTGCTTTGACGCTATACAGCGATGCCTTCTCTTGGATCTATTCATGAACTTTGATTCTTCTTGCGTGATATTATTTTCTCTGTCCTTGTGCGGCCGGTTGCACATGGTACATGTCGCGAAACCGCGCGTCTACTCGATTGTTATCCGCATCAAGCCAGCTTCAAAGGGTGCAGCGGTAGTCCAGTAGTCAAGATGCAATCCTATTCGGACCATAAAGTAGGCGGCATTCCTCCGGCCAGTGCCGATGGCCTCGATCTGACCATGGAGGACGCCCCTTTCCGCGCTTCTAGAGCCTACCAACTCGAGATGTTGCAAATGAGCCTCAAGGAGAATGTAATCGTTGCTGTAAGAAAGTTCTAGCAATTTCAATCAAACGCTCTGCTGATTTTACTTCAAGATGGATACCGGAAGCGGCAAGACCCAAATGTAAGTCCCTGACGATACAGATAGTTTCCATTTCAAGCGTCTAAACATGATCAGTGCCATTCTCCGCATACGAGCGCAGCTTGAATCCTCATCGGACCAAAAGGTACTTTCTATACATATATCCCCCACTGTTAGTGCTACTATCTAACTGATGATAGTTGATTTGGTTTCTAGCCCCGACTGTGCTTCTCTGTGCTCAGCAGGTCGCGGCCATCAGGATGGAAATACCCTCCATTTCCATTCGATTGATCGTCGGAAACGACAATGTTCACACTTGGGGCGCCTCAACGTGGAAATCCCTGTTGAGTGGAACTCAGGCAGTCGTGTCTACATATCAAGTTCTTCTCGACGCCTTGGATCATGCGTTTGTCAAGCTGGACGGTCTGTCCCTCCTGATCTTTGACGAAGGCAAGTCTGCATCCACGCACTGACATTGGGAGACTAACAATCGACAGCACACAACTGCGTCGGATCTCACCCTGGCGGGAAAATAATGAACCACTTTTACCATTACCAAACGACGCCGCAGGAGGCCGCCAACAGCTCTGCTCGGCCGGCGATATTGGGTCTAACTGCTACGCCAAGCATGCAAGCTCACATCACCGGCGTCGAGAAGCTCGAAAAGGTGCTCGATGCAAAATGTGTTTCGCCGTCGCTTCATCGTGAAGAATTGTTGCGCCATGTCAAACGGCCGCAACTCAGAATAATCGAATGCGAATCTACCTCAACGGAGCACTACACAGAGTCCATGACCTCGCTACGGCAGGAATGCGTAAAGATGGACATTTTGGAAGATCCATATGTTATCTCGCTTCGCACGCAAAATACGGATAGGAGCATGCGACGTCTGCAAAGGGTCATGGCTGAGCAAAAGACTTGGTCCCGGCTGCAGGTATCGAGCCTTCTGAACCGGTCCCGAACGATTCGGAATGTGTTGGGTCCATGGGCGGCTGACTTTTACATCTGGAGATCGAAACATACCTTTCTCCAGAATCTCGAATCCGTGGTTCCTTCTCTGGATGGCTGGATTCCAGAAGAAAAGCTTTACATTGCGAGAGTCTTGCAGGACATTGCCGCCCTCGAGCCCACACCACGCCCAATCGGCCAGGACAGCGTCTCGGACAAGGTTCACTTGCTGCTGCGCGAGCTACTTACATTCCAGGGCGACGTCATCGGTATTATCTTTGTCACGGAGCGTGCCACGGCGGCTGTGCTGGCGGCGCTCCTTCGCTCGATACCGGGTATTCGAGACCGGTATCAGATAGGTTGCATGGTCGGGACCTCGAATAATCAGCTTAGAAAGCGCAGCCTGTACGAGTTCTTTGGTTCCAACGATCTTCAAACATTGCACGAGTTTCGAGAGGGCACGATCAATCTCCTCGTGGCCACGGCAGTTCTGGAGGAGGGCATCGACGTGCCGGCGTGCAATCTGGTCATCTGCTTCGATAGCCCGCAGTCGCCGAAATCCTTCATCCAACGGCGCGGGCGAGCCCGAATGCAAGACTCGACATTGCTTCTCTTTACCCACAAAGAATCTTCCATCATCGACGAGTGGGCAGTCTTTGAGGAGGAAATACAGAAGCTGTGCCAGGATTCCGAGCGTGAACACCAGCACTTGCAGACTCTGGAGCGTCTTGACGAGGGTATAGACTTTTGCTTCCGGGTGCCGTATACTGGAGCTCGACTCGACCATGATAATGCCAAGCAGCATTTGGAGCACTTTTGCCGTGTCATTTCATCAAGGCAATACACAGATGGCCGTCCGGACTATGTTACCAAGCTCACAGAAGGCGACCATGGCCTGGCCATTACCGCCCAGGTCTTTCTACCAGCTTCGCTGCCACCCAAACTCAGAGTCTTTCAATCATCCCGCTCTTGGCTATCAGAAGCCAACGCTATGAAGGATGCGGCTTTCCAGGCCTATCTGGCCCTCTTCCACGCTGGTTTGGTGAATAAGAATCTGCTGCCACTAGAGATTAACATTGACCTCGAGGTGGAAAGCCGGGCCGCCATTATCGGTGTCCAGCCGTTGCTGGAGCCATGGGCTGAAGTAGCAGCTGCGTGGTCTGAGGGAGATTTTCGATGGGCGTACACAGTACAGGTTCGCGGACCAGATGACGTTTTTTTCGGAGACTACACCATGACGCTGCCCGTTGAGCTCGGTCCGCTGCGCCCAGCGAATTTATATCTCGACTACAATACTGCGTGCAGGCTGGAATTCTCGCCTCCTCGACGTATTCCGACATCGGAAGCAAACGAAATGGAAGATCACACCTCGACGCTCATTGGCCTTCACTTTTGCCATCGCTGGCCAATGACGGAAGGGCCCCATGTCATCAAGTTGACTTCGCACGACGATTCCCTCAACCTTGCTGGCATTGGAAATCGGCCATTTGACGCAGACTCAGCGGCCGTCTCAAGTAGAGACTATCTAATTCGTGATCGCAGCCAGGCGCCGTCCCGGTATCTCAGCGACCTCCCGGTCAAGCCGCCCATGAACATGGTGCAGCGTCCCTTCAGGGACTATGAAGTGGCGCCAGAGGAGCCCTATCTGAATTTGCTGCGGTGGACTCGCCGTACCGATTTTCTTCATCCGATCAAAGTCGATCCAGAGACGCAAATTCTGAGCCAAAAGCAGTATGCTTCTGTGCTGCCAGTATCCTACGCTACGATGGATAGCATTCACATTAAGCACGCCCGATTTGGAATGCTGGTTCCATCCATTGTCCATATAATCGAGACGATGCTCATTGTACGGCAGCTCTCAGTCACACTTCTTGATCCGCTCGGCATTTCGGACTATTTTCTACTGAGAGACGCCATCAGCGCGAGGAGCGCAATGGAACCCACGCACTACGAACGGCTCGAGTTCCTGGGTGACTCCATACTCAAGTATTGTGCCAGCATGCAAGCTGCGGTAACAAGTAAGACTGCCGATTTCAAGCAGGAATTTCTGAACTAACAATGTTTTCCAGATTTGGATTGGTCTGAAGGCTACCTATCTAAATACAAGGAGCGACTGATAGCCAATTCAAGACTCTCACGGGCTGCTGTCGAGACTGGGTTGTCAAGATTCATACTGTCAATGCCCTTTACAGGTCAAAAGTGGCGTCCTTTCCATCTCGAAACTGTCCTGGCCGGCAAAATGAAACCAAGTCCCAAGCGCAACCTGTCGACAAAGGTACTTGCCGACGTCGTCGAGGCGCTGATTGGCGTAGCTTACACGGTCGGCGGTATTCCCAAAACTATTCAGTGTCTGTCAATATTCATCACAGAGTGCGATTGGATGGATCCAAGCGACTGTAGGGAGGAATTCTTCTCATGTGCGCCAAGTCATGGTGTGAATTCTTCCTACTTGCATGTTCTTGAGGAACTGGTTGGCTATTCATTCACCAAGAAGTCTCTTCTCCTCGAGGCCACAACGCACGCATCCTACATTGGCGACATTTTTGGGCGGAGCTGGGAACGGCTGGAATTTATCGGAGATTCGATTCTTGACTACATCATTGTCAACAAGCTCATCAACCATACGCCGCCACTGGCACATTCGCAGATGCACATTATAAAAACCGCCATGGTCAACATGGATTTCCTGGCCTTTATCAGCCTCGAGGAGCATGAGCTCTCGCAAACTGAGTCGTTTGTGACGGAGAGCGGGACGGTGCTCACGGAGAACAAGCACACTGCTCTGTGGAAATTCATCAGGCACTCCTCGAGCGGCATCGGGCCAGCGCAGCTGGAAACGGCGAAGCGACACGTGCAGTTCCGCGGCGCGATTCTGCGCGCGATCCGCGACGGCGACCACTACCCGTGGCACATCCTCATCAAGCTGCACGCGAGCAAGTTCTACTCGGACCTGGTCGAGGCCGTGGTCGGCGCCCTCTGGGTCGACTCGGGCTCGCTGGCACCGTGCGAGGCGTTTCTCGCGCGCGTCGGCATCCTGCCGTACCTGGACCGCGTCCTCGCCGACGGCGTGCACATGCAGCACCCTAAGGAAGAGCTCGGGAAGCTGGCACAGGCGAGAACAGTGGTCTATAACATTGACGAGGTCCTGGATGACGAAGGCGGCAAGACGTACAGCTGCAGGCTGGTTGTCGGCGGCGTCGAGGTCGGGTCGGGCCGCGGCGGGCTGACGGCGGAGGAAGTGAGAGTGGGAGCCGCGACGGAGGCGGTCGCCTATCTCAAAGCGGAGGCGGCCTTTCAAGCTGACGATGAAGTAGCAGATGCTTAAGAAGGGGCCGATTTTGGCCTAAACCATGGGAACTTGAAGATGGATTTTCGGGGCGCATTTTGCGCATGATATACCAAATGTTGCTGAACTTGGCTTACACACCTCATGCTTCCTATTCACACAGATTTTGCTTACAATCCTTTTATTACTTGTATTTCTGTTCATTGGTGCTTTTTGAGTTCATCCAAGATAATGTCCACCATCCACCGTAGCGTGTCCGACATGTCCGGATCCAGCGCACCACCCTCTGGCACCACGATGCCCTCGTCCCGCAGCACGTCCTCGCGGTACCTGCCCTCGACATTTCCGTCCTCAAACAGCCACGCGTGCTCCTCGACGTAGTTAGGCCACACGATTTCGTCGACGTATCCGGGCGGGTCCTTCCAGAAGCCCTCGAGCGTCACGTAGCCGTCGCGGGCCTCGCGGCGCGCCTTGGCCCGCGCGTACGAGGCGCGCAGCAGCACCTTGACGTCGAGCGACGGCGCGAGCTCCGTCATCGACCGCGAGTACAGGAGGAAGCCGTCAAACAGGCACAGGCGCAGGCGCGCGGCGCGCAGCGGGTGCGAGGCGGGGAGGGCCGCCGCCGCCCGGGCCTTGAGCGCGGCGACGAGCCCGTCTGGCACAGGGCAGTG